GCCAAGTCAAAATTTGCATCAAAGTTTTTCCTTTTCTTCTTGAAAACTCCACACCATCTCAATATAGAGAACTACAACTTTCAACACCACATGAGAAATAGGCTGCCTGGCATTCTTCTTGAAAATCATAAAAGATGGCACGACTGTCAACAACAGCAGCGTGCTTTTCCAAGTGTAAATGAGTAACCAATTGAGGCTCAGATTTATTAAGCCTGTTCAACTCATCCCGTTCATGCCTTTGAGCATCAAGAGCAGTTTCATAAAGGACAAAAAATTCAACGCAGGTCACATGGGGGTTTATAAAATTACAAAGAAATTGTTTTCACCTTTAGACCTAGAAGTAGAGCGTAGTAACCCACCCATAAGCAAGTCCCTGAAATATGCAGGGATCCAAAGATTCCTAATCTTGAACATGTATGCAAACCACTCTTGATCTACAAGGTCAAATTCCTCCATAACACTGTTCTAGCCATCAACAAATACATTGGGATCAATTTCTTTATCCCAAACTATGTACTTAGCTTTTTCAAGAACTCAGTTTCATTACAAAACTGAGTTCCAACCTTTTCAGGTACCTTCCTCATTATGTGCCACATACATAACCTGTGTTTAGTCTTGGTAAAAACCTTTTGTATGGCAATACCCATTGCAGGGTCTTGATCAGTGATTATGCAAGAGGGTTCTCTTCCCATACACTTCAAAAAAGTTTGAAATAGCCACACAAAAGATTTTACTTCTTCTTTAGATAATAAAGTAGCACAAAATGTAACACATCTCTTATGATTATCAACTCTAGTAAAAGGGCAGAAACCAATGAGTATTTATTTGTATCATAAATAGAATCAAAAGATAAAGAGTCCCCAAACAATTGATAATCTCTTCTACCAATAACATCAGCCCAAAAAACACGTGTCAAGTGCCTGCTTTCATCAACATAGTAATCAAAATAATAACCCCCTTTACTGCTTTTCACTTTTTGTTTAAGGTTTTGAACAAACATTGCACCATCAGCATTGGAGATATAAAATTTCAAGTCCCTAGAAAATTTTTTGAAGTCATTTTTACTGCCCCTGACATTTTTAAACCCACCACAAAGTTCTTTCATGATCCTATAAGACATAACAACCCCTATATTTAACTTTGAGTTGTCAAAAATAAACTTCTTATGAGCAAAATTTAAACCAACTTCATATTTAGTAACCTGCCTAGTAATAGGTGTAGAAAAAGGGTGAGAATGAGACTCATAAAAAGAGTAAACCATATACTGCCCACCATTACAAAACCTAAATTTAATATTAGCAGGACATCCAACTCCCTTCAAAGTCTTTTTCCTTAAACATGCACCTTCAACTTGTTTACCAGCTTTCTTATTATTTGTCACATACCCTTCATTGCTACATAATAAATATTTAATTACAGTAACTCCTTTACTATTACTAGAACCAACCTTATTCTTATCTACTTTAGTAGTACTAGAACAGACTTTAAATCCATACTCATTAGCATGTTTGTAATAAAATTAAATACCACTTCCAAGACTATCAAATTTCATTCCAAGAATAGGTTTCTTTTCCAAAGCACAACCTGGGATATACTCTTTATCACCTCTAGAATTATAATATATTTTAGGAAGCACAGGCTGAGTGGGTGTTTTGAAAATTCTTACATTCTTATCTTTATCAGTGACAGTAGCAGAACAATGCTCTACACTTTCAGTCATCTCCCTGAAAAGTAAATGAATCAAAGAAAAAAGTAAATAAACAATAACAAAAAGTAAACCATTTAAAAAAAGTATACTTGTAAAAACTATCAAGATCTCTCAAATCCAGAAACAATCACTATCCAGTACAATAAAATCTAAACTAAAATGATAAAAAAAAAATGACCAGAAACTAGCAAAAGAAAAACCTTCTTCACTTGATATTCTTCATTCCAAATTTCATCAACATTGTTTTTCCAATTAAAATCGTAAATCCAAATCGTATTATAAGACTCAAAACAACACAAAATCATACAATTAGACTAAAAAAAAAACCCAAATCGTAATTTAAAACCCTAAAACGTAGTAAGTAATTCAAAAAAATCCCTAAATCGTAGTATATAAACCCTAAATCGTAGAAAGTACTTCAAAAAACACAAAATTATAACAAAAGAACACTAAATAAAACAGAAATAAGCTGAAAAAATCGAACGAAAACAAAAACAACAATTCAAAAATAATAAATCGAACAAAAAATCTCAAATCGAACAAAACAGATGGCAAATCGATAAAAAATTTCACAAAATCGCAAAAAGTATAATAAATCAAAAAGAATTACCTCAAACAATGATGAAAATAAAAGAATCACAGCAAAAAACTGAGCGAAGAAGAAAATCCTGATTTCGATACAAGATAAACGAAAATACAAAGAGAGTTGAGGGTAGAGAGAGAAAGTGCAAGAGAGGAGAGAGGAACAAAGGAACTGCGAAAAGAACAGGAGAAAGGTCATTCAACTGGCAAAATTACCAAAATGCCCTTAATGAAATTGAAAAAGGCAGGCGAAACACAAGCTGTCGGATTGAGACCAATCAACGGTCACGATGAGTTCCTAGTTCTTATTATAGGACTTGGTTCTCACATGATCTCAATCCTATATATATATATATATAGGCTAAAATTCCTAATATCAAAAGATAATATTTTATAGTTAATTAATTTAAACTTTAAAATCTCATTCTTCAATTTTGCTTACATGACATTTGAATTATTTAATTCTAAAGGAAATTAATAATCTCTTATTTGATTGGTTATAACTAAAGTTTATAATCCTACATGGCACGTTAAGAAAATTTCATCCTACGTGGCTCTCTAAAAACTCGGGAAAAAACTCCCCTTCATATATATATATATATATTAGATTGATTAAAGTCATACGACATCTACAATTAATGATTAACGGTTAAAAAAAACCAAAAAACAAAATCAGACAAAAATTAACAAAGAAAGGCTAAAAATCCAAATACATAAGATATAACAATTTGGCACGTTCTTGATTTGTTGACACATACAACTTTTTGAATAAATATGTCATCATTTTGTAGTTTTAGGAGGAAGAAAAAGTCTTGCGTTAATTTTGTAACTTGAATATGAGTAATTAATCGTAGCCACGCATACCCTAAGATTAGGGATGGCACGCATGTGGGTATAGAAATGTGGGTCCCGCTCCGCATCTGCCCCAGTTGAAGCGGGTATGGATCCTACTTTGGAAGGTAAGTATGCGAGTATGGGTAAAAAAGTCATACCCACCGTGGGTAGCAGCAAGTAGGTGGTGGATTTGATGTCATACCCAACTTGTTACTACCACTAATATTTTACGTAATTCTTTTTGTATTTGTATTGATGTAGGACTACTTTTATTGTTTTATAACTATTGACTACTACCTTGTATAATATTCTATCAAATATTCTTACAACAATTTATATAGATGGCATAATGATAATCTATAGGAAATTATTAAACAAATGTTGTTAGGTTAGTTGGCGAGTGAAAGACGGGTAGTGGATATCCACATGGGTGATAGGTCAGCATCTGCCCCAGTTGAAGCGGGTATGGATCTTCTCTTCTGAAAGAAAAAAACTCTTTCTTTCGAGGGAGACAATACAAGTTTTTCCCAAGTGGAGGAACCATAATATTTTTATTTAACATAATATAACCATGATTTATTAGATTATTTAGTTTTCAAATAAAATAATCTTACATTTCCAAATTTTCCATGTAATTATTCACATTGTTATATTTTCATAAAAAAATTTCCAATTCCCTTATCTATATTTTCTTTTTTTGAGAAAATTCCCTATACTAAAGAAAAGTTTTTTAAAAGAAAATTTCCCTCCTAAACTTTTTTTTTTTTTCTATTTCATTAATTTGCCTAATAACTTCATCATTATGTATTTATCTATATACGGTATACCTATATTAAAGTGGAGTTTGTTTATTTCGAGGAAATTTTCCTTCTTAAGCTCTATGTATGTTTTTTTTCTTTATTATAAATTCAGTAATTTGCCTAACAAGTTCATCATTATAATTATTGTAACTACAAGAAAATCGTCATTTTTTGGAACCAGAACCTGTAGGGTACCCTAGAACTGTATAAAAGTATCGCTTAAGCCCAAACATATGTTAATCGGACACGGCTAAAATCACGAAGTGTCTGTGTCGATACAACAAGAAACGACACAGACACGAGATCGTGTTTAAAGACCACCATTAATATAGAGAAGATGGAGAGAAGAAGATTACCATTTACTGGAGAATTTACCGATGATAGAATTTAAAAAAAGTTATTGGAGAATTTACCGATGATAGAATTTAAAAAAAATAAAAATAAAAATAGGGGTGGACGTAATGAAAAATATAAAGTTTTTGTAATATATAATTTATTTATATAACTTTAAGTGACGTATTGACGTGTACCCGTATCCGTGTCTAAATATCAGACAGAGTACCTGTGTCCTAAAATTTTGGAACTTGTAGGATCAGACACTTGGACATGTGTCCGTGTCTGACTCCCGTTCCCAAATGCATGTAACATATGCCCAAATCATATATCAATTCAAGCCTAATTTTACTAAATAAAAATAAAAATAATAGTTATAAATATATATTAAATTTGCTAAACAACTATTTTTGGTTTGATGTATTTACAATTTGTAAGAGTTGAAAATTTATGAACCTCCAAAATTTTATGATATAATTTAGCGAAAAAGTACGAAATTTATTAAAAGACAAGGTACCTTGAATCGAACCGGATCTTACAGGTTCCGATTTTGGCTCCCATTTTTTAGGAACCTGTCAATTCCGATTTTCATTTTGTGGAACCTATTGCAACAAGTTCTAATTCTGGTTCTAGGAATTTTAAAAGGGTACCCTGTTATGGTCACCTACCCCTAGATATACGAACTTTTTTTTGCCACCTTTTCTATATAAGGATATTTTCTCACAAAGTTGACCACTTAAAAGGAAATATGAAATAACGTTTCATCATTGCTTTCATGAATAATACAAATAATACATCTTAACTTTACAATGCCTTTTAGGTATGGAGATAGGTAATTACACAAATCTATAAATTTCAAAAATTACAAGGCAAAAATTCAACAACATCAATGTTTGATAATTTTAATCACAGAGGGCTAAATGCGATCCATCTTTGCAACATTGCTAAACATTCTTGCGACTTATATTCAGGGGCAATATGTCCTGCTCCCTACAAAATTAGCAATTTGATGAAGTATTAATTGTTCTAACTAAAAAGAGATTTAACTATATGTAACATTCGTCTAGTGTTACTAATAAGATGCAATGAAAAATGTTATCTAATTATTTAATGAAAATAAGTTTAATTCGGTAAAAATAAGTTAAGTTCCGCAAAAATACAAGAATTTTACTTTAGTAAAAATAAGTTAAGTTCAGCAAAGATATAATGAGTTTAGTAAAAATAAGAGTTAGTTTTAGTGGAATTAAGTTTTAATTAGTAAAATTCAATAACTCAAATATAATATAGTTAATCAATAAAATAATTTGTAATTAGTAATAATTATTTAAATTCAGCAAAATTAATTTAATTACAAAAAGCTTATATAAGTTTGGAAAAATAATTTAATTACAGGATAAATGATTTAAGTTTAGCAAAAATAATTTAAGTTTGATACACATCAGTAAGTAAATGGGTATTAAAGGATTAGATTGAGTAATGCTTATACCTTGATTGTAGTAAATGTCAAATTGTAGTTGCCATTTGAATATTCTGTAACATATCTGTATCAAACAAGAAATTGTCAAGTCTATAATAATATAACTACTCACATCATAATACGTAATGACCAAAATACCCTTTTTCCTTACAATATCAAATTAAAAAAAAATATACTCAAGCACCACCCACTATTAGCCATCATTCATCAACACCACCACCCACTACTAGCCACCAACACCACCACCCATACCAATGGCTGACCGCCATCATAGAGGCAAACATTATATTTTTTAATTATTATTATCATTATTACATTTATAAATATTATTAATATTTTTATTATGGTATTATTATGTTAATAATTGTAAATATAAATATATCAACATATATTATATTATTATTCTAACTTCTATCTTATAATAATTATTATTATTATTAGTAGTAGGATAATTTCACTTTTACTACCCCTTTAAAATTTTATTTTATTTTGCTACCACACAAAAACAACTTTGTTAAAATTTGCTACCTTTTAACGGAATGGGTTAGGGTTCTGTTAAATTTATTCAAAAAAAAACCCAGCCAGCCACCCTCCCCCCTCCCTTTCCTCCACCTACGCAGCCCACCACCTTCAATTGCCCAGCCAGCCCCCTCCCGTCAGCCAGCCTCCCCCCTCCCCCCTGTCGGCAACCGGCGCCCAAAGCTTTGGCCGGCGCCAGCGACCCCACCCCAATCCCTTTCCCCCACCTACGCAGCCACCCCCCCTCCCTTTTCCCCTTCTTGTTGCCCCAACCCCCACTCCAAACCGAAAACCACCCCTTTCCCATTCGCCCCACCGGAATCAGCCCCCCTCCCCATTCCCCCACCAGAATCGTCTCCCCCCCCTCCTCTACCCTTTTCGACCACCCTTAACCTTAACCCACCACCCCAACCACCATAAGCGAAACCCTAAAACCCGTTTAGGGTGGTTTCAGGCGGGTGGTTTAAGGTTAAAGGTGCCGGTTTTTGGGTGGGGGAAGGGGAGGGGGGTCGATTTCATTGGGGAATGGGGAGGGGGGTCGATTCTGGTGGGGAGAATACGGAGGGGGTGGTTTCCGGTTTGAAGTGGGGGTCGGGGCAGCAAGAGGGGGAAAACGGAGGGGGGGCGGTTGCGTAGGTGGGGGAAAGGGATTGGAGTGGGGTCGCCGGCGTTGGCCCAAGCTTTGGGCGCCGGCCGCCGGCAGGGGAGAGGGGGGAGGCTAGGGCAGTTGAGGGTGGCTAGGTTTTTTTTTTATTATTATTTTTCTAATTTCTTTATTTTTTTTTAATTTTTTGAATAAACTTAATGGAACCCTAACAGATTCCGTTAAGTGGTAGTGAAATTTAAATTATGTGATTTAGGTGGTAGCAAAATAAAATAAAATTTTAAAGGGGTAGCAAAAGTGAAATGTATGTGTTTTGGTGGTAGCAAAAGTGAAATTATCCTAATTATTCAGGTCGTTTTAAATCAATCAACCAATAGCAATTCAATTCAGTTCAATTCAACATATTTCAGTCCAGTTTTGTTAAGCACAACAAATTTCAGTTTAGTTTAGTAAACTACAGTTCAATTCAGCAAATTTCAATTCAGTTTCGCGCATCACTGTTGCAAATTTCAGCCTAAAAGAATGGGGCCTAAGTTTGTAAATTTATTTTTTACACTTCTACATGTGTAACAATTATGTTATATAGTTAGGTCACTTTTGTCGGACTCATCAATTAAGATATAGATCTACTTAGATGGTAAATTATTTATCAGCTTTTATTTCACTTAATAAGTTAAGGTTCTGTTCATAGAGAAGACCCCCAAATCCACCCCCCCCCCAAAAAAAAAAAAAAAGACAATTTCAAATAATAAGCAGAGAGAGATTTTGTAGAAAATTAATTTACCCTCCAACTTGGCCATTTAAAAACCAAGGCCTCCAATAATCACCATTTGGGACGATATTTAGCTTTTTGATCCAAGCCAATGTTGTCATATATGGAGCCAACATATCCTGGTCACCACTGTTAAACAAAATTAACCGGTAAGCATAGTCAATGTAACCAAATATAAAATTAATTAGATACTATAAAAACCTATTGCAAAAATTTTCTCTTTTAGTTGATCTGTTTTTTTAATCATGTTTACCAATGCACAAGTTTAAGTATTTACATCTTTAATCTATAGTACTATATAAAGAGAAAGGGCATTTTGGTTAATAAATTTGTCTTTTCCCAAAATACCCTTCTCTTGCAATTACTATCCACAGTTTTTTTTTTTTTAAAAAAAATGTTCATAATTGCTCACAAAAAAAAAAAAAAAAAAAAAAACCAAAATTATCTACTTTATTTTCATAAATAAAAAAACTAAATACCCACAAACCATGTTTACTTTTTTTTTTTTATTGAAAAGATCCACATTAATTTAACTTTGTTAAAAGATTTCCTCAAAAAAAAAAATTGTTAAAAGATAATCATACATATTTTTTTATTAAAATAAGGAAAATTAACATCAATATAGTTCCCTCAAAAAAAAAAACAAAAAAAAACTTAACATGCATTAAAAAGAAAAAAAAAAGAAAAAAAAAATATACATCTTCTAATCCATATACGTAGTATTACTTTAGATGTTTACTCTATAGTATTGAATCCTTTATACAAAAAACTCAACAATCAACAATATTTTTTAAGGTTAAGGTACAAAAAGTGGATAAAATTTGTTATTGTCTAATTTTTATTTTTTTTTACGATCTTTAATTAAAATCTTAAATCTAAAATTTTATGTAAGTATTGATTTTCGAAAAAATCTACAATAACATTATTATGAGTAAAATATCCTATATTGTATACGTGTAACGTGTGTGTCGTAGCTTGTTGTTAATAAGTGAAAGCTATAAAAGTTAATATTTATAAAATACAAATTGAGACGTTTTAAATAAGATCGCACATGAATTTTTTTTAATCATAGATAGTTGTAAATCACAAATGCTACTCAAAGTAAATTTTACGAATAATATTAAAAGTCAAATTGTGACAGCTAAAAAAGATCAGAGGAATTACTAGTGAAAGATAATCTAACCATTTTAGTGAAATGAAAGTAGTGTATATACATGAGATAAAATAATACAAAGTAATTGTTATAACTAACTGTAAGAAATTTATGGACCTAAATACAATAATGTATGTGGATTATACGGTTATGATTTTATTTATACGCTATTATATAGTTTAGCACAAAAATAAAGTGATTCATATAAGTAATTATTATTGTTGGGCTTATTACGTCTATTATATAGTATGGGTTTAATTAGTTTTATGTGTAGAGACCATTGGACCCTTTCTAATGCATGATGTGTGGATTAGGAAGGGAGTCTATATGAATAGACATCTTGGGTTATGGCCCCTAGTAGTACATACAATAGACTCTCAGTTATATCCCATCAATAAAGAGAAAACCCTAGAGTATGTTTCTACTAGAAGACGCATAATCAATAAAGGGTTCGATCAATTGTCATGGAATCAGGTACGCTTCTGCAATTAAGATTTACCGATTAATTTGATATGAAGATTTACCGATTAATTGTCATGAGCCTCCTTCATATTAGATTAGTCGGTTAATTTAAATCTGATAATTTTGGTTTAATCGTATGATGTCATGCGATTTATGTTGAAATCTGTTGCGACTTTTTATTAATTAAATTCATGTCGCATATTATCTCGTTCGTGAATTTTCGAAGTATGATAATTGAATATGGTTTCGTTTTGGTTAATTCGTTTTTTTGAGATATATTTTGGTGAACGATAGTTTGATGCTTTGTCGTTCGTTTGATTGAAATCAGAATAATGATCATGGATTTGCGTTTTGTTTTTTTGTGAAATCAATTCACTGCATTTGCTGCAATATGGTTTGATTATCACTCCAACATAGTTTGATTAATTTACGAAGTATTATATGCTGATACTTCCATGATTTATCATTTATTTATATTATAGTATCATACCGTACCCTTGAATTGGATACTAGTAAGATTTGTCCCTGCTAGCAGTCTTAACTTGGTCTGTTTGGACAAGCAGAAATAAGCGCATCTTCGAGAACCCAACCCACGATTCTTGTGCTTTGGCAGTGAACTTCACGAAATATGTTCTGGATTATAATGTGTATGCAGCACGAGTTTTTGGCAGATCAGTGAGCAAGAAGGTTCTGTCTGCCAGCAGCTGGACAGCTCCTCCGAATGGTGTCGTTAAGATCAACACCGACGCTGCCTTACTGCCTGATAAATCCGTGGGTTTAGGCATGGTGGCTCGTGATAGTGCTGGGTGTATATTGTTTACTGCTGCGAGGAAGAGAACAGGCCACTGGGACCCTAGAGTAGCGGAGGCTGCAGCGTTGTGCTTTGGTGTGGAGGTGCGAATAGGCTGGGTCATAACGCAATTTGGTTGGAAAGTGACGCTATGACTTTTGTCCAGTCTATTGTTTCTAAGAGGAAAGGCCATAGTTATTTCTTTGCTTTTGTGGAACGCATTTTATGTATTATTTCTTCCTTCTCTTTCTTCTTCTGTAGTCATGTGTCAAGAAGTGGTAATGCCTTTGCCCACCTAATTGCTAGGTCTTGCCCTTCGGACACTATGGAGCATGTACATTTTGCACCTTTCCCGGAAAGCTTTTTAACGCTTGTGGGTTTGGATATTAATACATAATTGCTCCCTGCTTTCTTTCAAAAAAAAAAAAAAAAAAAAAAAAAAAAAAAAAAAAATTGGATACTAGTACTTGACTACATCTCTACATGTTGCCGTTCTTTTAATTTGACCGTTGAGCAAGAATTAATCATGAGTTGTGTTGTATTATTAGTTTAATTTAAATCAACGCATGATTAATTACATGTATTAAGGTTAAATCAGATTTTTATGGTTTACAATGAGGTAAAAATAAAAATAATATTGTGTCTCATAGTTTGGATTTATTAATTGAAACAATATGTTACCAAAGTAACCTCTTTTGTGTAGATTAATTTATTTGAAATATTGAGATGTTCGTGTGTGTTTGATTTTCATACGATTAATGGTGCCCAAAGGAAGGCTATTATTTGGCCGAAAATTAAACATGCTTGTGGCAATAAATATGTACCAATTATAAGGGTTTTCATGTGAATGTTAAGTTGGTCCAAAGAAAGACTTAATGTTTGATAGGATTTTATTGTTAATATTTGATTACTACACCAAGAGGACCACTTACAAATTTAATTTTTGTCCAAAGACTAAAAATTAATGTTGTGCTAGGTCTCTTGTGATGGAATGCGTTGTCAATATTTTAATCTGATTATTAAAGTTGAATTTTGGAATTAATTGTGAGCTTATTTTGTTTGTTTGTGTTCTCTTCAGTGAATACTGCCAACATTACTACTATACCCATGCTTGATGGTGGATAAACTTTAAAAGTTGGAAAGAGAACGTTATGATCGTTCTTGGTTGCATGGATCTAGACCTTGCTCTTCGGGTTGAACGCCCCGCTGCTCTTACGGATTCTAGTCCCTCTATAGAAAAGGGGAATATGGAAAAGTGGGAACGCTCAAATCGCATGAGTCTTATGATCATGAAACGTGCAATTCCAGAATCATTTAGGGGCGGTATGTCCGAAGAGGATGATGCCAAATCGTTCCTACAGAACTTGAAAAACATTTTGCTGAGAACGAAAAGACGGAATTAAGTACTCTCATGAGTAGCCTTGTTTCCCAAAAGTATAAAGGAACAGGGAACATAAGAGAGTACATTATGGAAATGTCTCATATTGCTTCAAAATTAAAGGCACTAAAGTTAGAGTTGTTTGATGACTTGCTCGTGCATTTGGTTTTGATATCTCTTTCTAAATAGTTCAGTCAATTTAAGGTCAGGTATAACTGTCAAAAGGAGAAATGGACTTTAAATGAGCTCATTTCTCATTGTGTTCAAGAGGAAGAGAGATTGAAGCAAGGAAAGACAGAAAATGCTCACTTGGCATCTTCCTCTAAGGATGACAAGAAAAGGAAGAAGGGTAAGGATGTGGTTTCGCAACCACAAAAGAAGTAACATAAGGAAGATAATATAAGGATGAATCTAAAGTATCTGGATGCTTCTTCTATGGTGGGATGACTCACAAGAAGAAACAATGCACTAAGTACCACGCATGGCGTGCGCAAAAGGGTATGTTTCTTTCTTTTGTCTGTTCTGAGGTTAATTTAATTTCGGTATCTAAACACACTTGGTGGCTAGATTCTGGTGCTACTACTCACATAAGTGTGTCCATGCAGGGTTACCTGAATTGCCGAAAATCGAGTGATAGTGAAAGATACATATGTGGGTGATGGCAAGGCAATTGAAGTTGAAGCTATAGGCACTTTTAGGTTGTCATTGAAGACTGAATATTATTTGGATTTGAAAGAGACTTTTGTTGTACTGTCTTTTAGGCGGAATTTGATTTCTGTTTCTACATTGGACAAATCTGGTTATCTTTGTTCTTTTTGAAATAATAAAGTTAGTCTTTTTTATAATTCAAAATTAGTTGGATCTGGTTCTTTATCTAGATTTGAAAACCTATATTTGTTGGATACTAATGCTTCATCTAATGAAAGTTTGCATGTCAGTTCTAGTGGTACTAAAAGAAAACTAGCAAATAAGAATTCTTCATCACTTTAGCACAAACGTTTAGGGCATATTTCAAAACAAAAAATTCAAAGACTTGTGTCAGATGGAATTCTTGATTCCCTTGATTTTTCAGATTTTGATTTATGCATTAATTGTATCAAAGGGAAACAAATAGACAAAAGGAAATTAAGAGCCGAACGAGCTTCAGATGTCGTAGAACTAATACATACGGACATTTGTGGACCATTTCCTACAGCTTCTTGGAATGGTCAACAATACTTTATTACGTTCATAGACGATTATTCTCGTTATGGCTACGATTCATGAGAAATCCCAAGCATTGGATGTGTTCAAATCTTATAAAGCTGAAGTTGAAAATCAACTTGGGAATACAATTAAGAAAGTCAAATCTGACCGTGGTGGTGAATATTATGGCAGAAATGACAGATCTGGTGAACAATGTCCAGGGCCATTTGCTAAATTCCTAGAGGAATGTGGAATTGTCCCTCAATACACCATGCCAGGATCAGTTTAAATGAATGGTGTAGCTGAGAGGCGCAATAAAACATTGCAGGAGATGGTAAGGAGTATGGTTAGCCACTCTACCTTACCAGAATCCCTCTGGCGAGAGGCAATTAAGACCGCAACTTATATTCTCAATAGAGTACCAACTAAGGCAGCTTCTAAAACCCCTTATGAACTATGGACTGATAAGAAACCTAGTATAAAGCATATACACATTTGGGGTTGTCCATCTAAGGAAAGGCCTTATAGGCCAAATGAAAAGAAATTGGACTTTAGAACTGTTAGTTGTACCTGAAAGGTCTAAGGGGTATAAGTCTTATGATCCCACAACTAGATCAATTTTTGAGACGGAAAATGCTAGAATTTTTGAAGATGTTGAGTTTGGAGATAAGGTTAAAGAGTTTATTTTCGAAGAGGAACAAGTTTCTCTTCCTTCAATTGTTATCAATCATGATCAGACATCCATTCCTGACATGATTGAAGGTACAACTCCAAAAACTCAAAATGATTCCCCTATTCAGAATCAACTGAATAAATACAAAAACTTCAGATCCACTAGAGAAAGAAGAAGTGCAATTTCAGATGACTATATTGTTTTTCTCCAAAAACAGGAGGATAACAATGAAATTAATGAAGAATTTGTTGCACTACTTCAAGAACAAGAGTTGGAAAATGAGATGGTGGATGATGATCTAATCACCGTTCGCCAAGCCATTGAAGGCCCTAACTCTTAAGAGTGGATTGATGCCATGAATGAGGAAATTAAGTCCATGATGGGCAATGACGTTTGGGACCTTGTTTCATTGCCTGAAGGTGTGAAAACCATAGGTTATAAATGGATTTTTAAGACCAAAAGGGATTCAAATGGCAATGTGATAAGGCATAAGGCTCGTCTTGTCGCTAAGGGCTATACTGAAAAGGAAGGCATTGATTATAAGGAGACTTATTCACCAATTTCTTCTAAAGACTCCTATAAGATTATGATGACACTTGTAGCATATTATGATCTTGAATTACATCAGATGGATGTTAAAACAGCATTTCTCAATGGTGACATTGAGGAAACCATATATATGCAACAATCAGAGAACATTCAAAGAAAATGGTTTTCAAATTAAAGAAATCCATCTATGGACTCAAACAAGCTTCTCGTCAATGGTATTTCAAGTTTCATCAAGTTTTTATGTCTCGTGGTTTAGAGACAAATGCAGTTGATGATTGTGTGTACCATAAGTTCAGTGGAAGTAAGCATGTTTTCCTGGTGTTGATGACATATTGCTTGCTAGCAACGATATAGGCTATTTGCACGAAATTAAGAGATTTCTATCAAATCACTTTGAGATGAAAGATCTTGGGGACACCTCTTTTGTGTTAGAGATACATATTCATCAAGATCGCCGTCTAGGCACTCTTGGATTGTCACAAAAGGGCTATATCGAGAAAGTTTTGAAAAGGTTTGGCATGCAAGACTGTAAACCAGGTGATATCCCTGTGGCTAAGGGAGACAAGTTCAGTCTCACACAATGCCCAAAGAATGACTTTGAGACTAAAGAAATGAAGAAGATCCCTTATGCATCAGCTGTAGGGAGCCTTATGTATGCTCAAGTTTGTACCCGTCCAGATATTGCATACATTGTTGGAATATTGGGCAGATATCTAAGCAATCCAAGGCTTGATCATTGGAAAGCTGTAAACAGGATTATACGATATTTGCAGAGAATAAAGGATTACATGCTCACTTACAGAAGGTCAGATGAACTTGAGATCATTGGATACACTAATTCTGACTTTGTTGGATGTTAAGATAGCCTGAAATCCACATCTGGCTACATCTTTGTGATAGCTGGAGGAGTTGTCTCTTGGAAAAGTGTCAAACAGACACTTAGAGCTACTTCCACCATGGAAGCAGAATTCATAGCTTCTTATGAGGCATCCAACCATGCATTATGGTTAAGGAATTTTGTCATAGGTCTACGCATAGTGAATGGTATTGATAAAACACTCAAATTGCTAGGTGTGTATGCCAACAATAACAAAAGCTTGACAAAATCAAAGCATATTGATGTCAAGTTTAGAGCTGTGAAGGAAAGAGTGGAGAGTAAACAATTGTCTTTAGAGCATATTAGCACAAACTCCATGATTGCGGATCCGCTTACTAAGGGTTTACCGCCTAAAGTATTTCATGTGCACACTGCTCGTATAGGTGTCATGCCACATAAGGATATATAGTTTTAGAGGGAGTTTGTTATTTTATTGCTTGTATGACATAGAAACATTTTGAATATTGTGGTTTTAAGTATTTCTGCAAAAATAAAGTATTCAGTTTGGTTTACTCTTTTACTAGATCATATTGTGGTCTTGCTAAAGTTTATAGTGAACCAATTGAAAATAGACATTTTGGATCACAATTATGTTATTTGCATGCTACACACCTATGCTTGATTCATGTCGTTGATTGTGTTAACATTGTGGCCATTGATGGGTCTAGTTACATTAATTGTAGCTTAGATTGCTTTGAATCTATGTTGATATAATTGATGGACCGAATTGTTTAAAGACATTTGGAAATAATAGTATTCCGAGCTCATAAAGTTTTAAAGTATAATGCAATTAACAAGAATCACAAACATGTAATTGTATTTGGTCCAAGTGGGAGATTGTAAGAAATTTATGGACCTAAATACAATAATGTATGTAGACTATACGGTTATGATTGTATTTATACGCTATCATATAGTTTAGCCCAAAAATAAAGTGATCCATATAAGTAATTATTATTGTTGGGCTTATTACGTCTTTACAAAAGTATGGGTTTAATTAGTTTTATGTGTAGAGACCATTGGACGCTTTCTAATGCATGATGGGCGGATTAGGAAGGGAGTCTATATAAATAGACATCTAGGGTTATGGTCCATAATAGTACATACAATAGACTCTCAGTTATATCCCGTCAATAGAGAGAAAACCCTATAGTGTGTATCTACTAGAAGACGCATAATCAAGAAGGGGTTCGATCAATTGTCATGGAATCAGGTACGCTTCCGCAATTAAGATTTACCGATTAATTTGATATGAAGATTAAAGTATATAGTAGGAATTAATCCTAACACTAACACGTTACTAAGTTACTTAGATCATTTGTGGCCTTGCAATAAGGCATTCTACTAGTAGAGTTTCATGGGTAGCACAATTTGCATATAGAGAAAATATATGAGTTACCTGAAGATTAATGCCCTGAGAGGCTCGGTGGTAAGATTTTGTTGATAACTCACGCTGTTATCAACATCAGAATTGTACTTAAACTCATCATCGCTGCGTCGACCGCGGCAGCGAAACCATTCACTAATCGTTCCCTAAACACAATCACTCTCAACATTAGACCGCACGCAAAACAGGGCAACATGATAATAGTGCAGCAACTATCTAATCAAATTACTAATCTTCGGAACAATCATTGATATATATATGATTATCAAGATTAGAATGGAGTTCAATTGATGATTTATTCATGTTGATCTAAAATGATACCTCCTTCATATCCTAATAGTAATATTTGTACGTGCATGCATGAGACCAAAACTAGTTAGGATTCAAAAGAGGTTTAAAAATATTTTAATTAGATTAAAGTTTCTAAATACTGCAAAACTAACTAAAGTATTTTTTTTTCATATTTTTTTGGCAAAACTGTACAAAACTTGGAGAAATCATATTTATGAATCAATTACATACCTCTCGAACATGAAGAGCTGCTTGGACGTTAATGTCATTTGCCCACGATTGAGACATGCGATTACGATAGTATACCTGCACCACCAAAAACACATACGCACACAAATAGTACAAATTCATAAATTTGTTATCGATCACATAAAGTCTACTATTTCCATCTCTAATAGTTTTTCCATTTTGAACAAAATTTGTCTCATAAACGGTACAAGGAAAAATAAAAAATAAAACTTTTAAAGACGGATGAAGTACTAATATTATAGCCCTTTCAACTCTGATAAATTGTGAACGAAAGTGGGAAGTTAAGCAATACCCGACACCACTTCTCGGGTGTTGATACATTGCATTTGGATTCCAGGATAAATGATTCTTCTACTGGATCCATGCACTGCATAGGCAATCGTGGATCATAGATATTAGTACATGAGATAGAAAGATATAATTAAGTTCATAAGTTTATCACACACGTATATATGGAACGTACAATTTGAATAAGATTAACCTATTAAACTATTATTCCAAATGATTTTTTAGGGTTCATTCAATCAACTTATCTTTAAGGGTCTAGAAAAACGTTTACAGACTAATTAATTTAAGTATCTTGTTGTCCAATTTAATTCATATATGTTGTTGTCCAAGTTAATGAGAAAGTGGAGCCGTGATCATTAGAATTCTTCACTAGTGCTAATCGTATCCAATCGATCTAGTGTAAAACATATCATTTTTGCGTGCGCTTGTGTGTGATTTGTAAAATATACTCACATTTGATGTAGCTTCAAGTATCTCTTTGCATTGTGCATTACCTTCAGCAACAATTGGCTCATAATCACCATGGCAACTTAATTTGGCCGACTAACAATTTTAAAATACATGATTCATTAGTGAAATGATAATAATAATAATACAAAGAACACAACAAATTACTTAAAATAGAATTACATTAAAAAAATGCCTCATTCAAAGAGATTATTGATGACAAGTATATATTTTCAAATAGAGGAACAAACAATAGTTTGGAATTCTCAAGTAATCCAATTCTCTCTTATGTGAACAAGGCTAAATGGCCTACCAATATTGCCGAGGCCAAAGTTGAGTCTGGTATTATCGTAATACTTTATTTTTAATCACTTTTAATTTGTAATTACTCCATAATTGTCAAAACTAAAAAGTGTACATATAAATTTAATGTTATGAAAGTATGAATCGAGACGAATGTAGATCCCACAAGAATATGTATTTTCTTATATTTATTAAATTTAGTCAAAATAAGTATGTAAATTTTTCATAAATCAAAGTGTTGCAAGTATATAAAAAAAGTTAAAATAAGTATTTGTTTACCTATTATCATTACATTGTACAAACGACAACCTAAAAAAGTTTTCAATTTTTTTTCTTTAGAGGTAAGCGGGGCCCACAAAAAGTGTTTCAATTAGTGACACAAACATGCTGATAATTAAGTGCATACTAATACTACTAACCTCATAAAGCTCATCTGACAGTATAGATATACGGTGAGCATATTCGATTGCATGCTTTGAAACGAAATCATCCATCACCGGATTCCCAATAATATATCCCTAGAATCAAATGTTATGAAAGGAGAGATCATTACAAATTTACATACAATTGAGAAAGCCAAAATTTACATACCTATTAATTTCTTCCTAATTATTTACTCCTTTCAATCCCTGTTTGATTGTAGAAATGTAACATTTCTAAACAATACATATACATGTCCCCACATTGATAAAAGAAAAGAGAGTTAAACATTACATAAAACTATAGGGCTAATCTAATTGTCGTATAAAATTTTACAATAGAACCTCCTAAACTTTTGGGACTTTAAAGGACTTAAATACACAAACCTAACTTATCCATATGAGTAGTTTGGTATCATTTTATTATAGTTAATGGGTGGGTTTTGTTTTTTATGTTTTTTAATATCATGATTAGTATGTAGTGGGTAAAAAGTTAGGTGACAAAAAAATGAGTAGATCCATGGTATTTTTAAAAAGAAAGGAAAGTATGTTAACTGCGACTCAGGTAATTCAAAGTTCCTAAATATACAATTTTATTTTTTGGTACAATACATACTAAATATACAATATGGAGTATAAATAAGTCTATCTAATTTAAAAATAAGAAGTAGCATTGAAAGATACTCCACAATACAAGATTTAATCGACGATCGTATAATTTTTATAAGGAAATTTTTTATTTAATATAATATTTTAAGTATATGTTAAAATCGCTTCTTCTTTATCAATGTCGTGTAATAATTTATTAATGCATTCATTCTACTATTAAAAAAAAGTAACATTGAAAGAAAAATTTAGTAAAATTGATAATATGGAATTTAAGAACAAAGGTTATCACATAAGGAGTAATATTGGATGGTGAAAGGATTTTCTAACGCAAACAAATGTAAGGTTTTGTTCATTTTGTCTTAATTTTGCTAAACTGAAATTATTTTTACTGAATATTATAATTTTTTTCAAGGTGATAAGAACAGGGCCTTAAGTTCTTATATACTTGAGAATATTTCAAGTGCTTATGAAACTAACGAATGTTTTGGATAACAATAAGAAAACCATCAAGGGCATTTGGTATTTTGGTTAGCAAAATGTTATAGATTGACCACGGTAATAATAAAAAAAAAAAAAAAAAAAAAAATCATAAACCATAAAAATGAAACAAGTATGAGCTTTTTTTTTCGAACTTACATTTTAATATCAAATTAGATGAAGCCGTGCGATGTACGGTTTGTTTGTATTTTTTTCACATAAAATATTTGTTTGTTCACATAAAATATTTTACTGAATATATATTTTATCTGATAAATTTTGTGATTTATTCCTTTGCTTACTACTTGAATTTTTTATTATAAAAAGAACACAAACTATTGCCGCACCCAATTGTTTGTGCGACACTCATTCTTTTGTTCCCTTCTCTTTCTCTCTCCTTCTTCTCTTCCCTTCTCTTTCTCTCTCCTCTGCTCTTTTTTTTTACCAGATCAAAATCAGAAATTCACATCAATTACATAAAACAATCATAATTAATCCAAGGGGGTTATTGTTTCGAAATTTGCTATTGAATCGAAATTGATGATTTGCTCTGTTTAAAGCTGTTTTGCTATGAATTTTGGGCGGCAATGGTGGTTTTGTGTATGTGGTGGCTGCGGTGGATAAGGAGGTGATTCATTGCCGATGGTTGTTGTAGGGATGCGGGTTTTGGTCACAGGTTCAATTTGGTGGTACGTTCGATTTGGAAGTGCGATTTGGAGTTCCGATTTAATTTGGTGTTGGTGGAGTTCACTTGGTGGTGGCGGTTTGCTGCTGGTGGAGTTTTCATGGTGGTTGGTTGGGCGGCACTACTCTTTCTCTCTCCTCTCTTTGCTTCTTTTTCCTCCTATTCATCTCTATCTTCTTCCATCTCCTCTGAAAATGCAAAATGCAAATGCAATGCAATTCGTATAAGTTTTTTTTTTTTTTTTTTTTTTTTTTTTTTTTTTTTTTTTTTTTTTTTAATGAGTTAAACTTTAAATGTTTAATTATGTGGATCAGCCAATAAAAAGGAAAGGAACATATTTGCTAATTGATGTCTGATATTAGTTAACATTAAGAACATATCATACATTAAAAAAAAAAAAAACGTATCAACCAACAAAAGCAACATATCAGCCAAAAAAAAATTTAAAAAAAAACAAACAAACAAAAGAAACATATCAGCCAACAAATGAAGCATATCAACCAACAAAAGGAACATATCAGCCAACAACCAACATTAAGAACATAAAAGCCAACAAAATAAAACATATAAGCCAACAAAAGGATAAAATCAACAAACAAAAGCAACATATAAGCCATAAAATAAACATATCAACCAACAAAAATGAAACATATAAGCTAACAAAATAAACATAACAGCTAACAAAATAAAGATATAAGACAACTAAAGAAACATATCAATCAACTGATGACTGATAACAGCCAACAAAAAGAACATATCAAATATTTAAAAAAACATATCAGCCAACAAAAGAAAAATATCAGTCAATACAAAAATTAGCCAACAAAGAAACATATCAGGCAACAACTGAAACATATCAGCCAAGCCTGCCGTATGCATAATTTGGGTGCGGTAGTATGCACCCCATACCTTCTCTAGATTGAATTGTTAATTCATTTTGTTTTTCATTCTTAGATATATAAATTTCTAATAAAAAAAGATAATATTTTATTTTTATAATTAATATAATATTTTAATTCTATAAAAAAATTGCAATTTTTTTTTTCATTGGCTAAAATATAACATTTTCTTATGTGGCGCTTTAAATCTCTTTAATTTTATTCATGATATTTTTAAAAAAATAATAATTTTGGTGTCGCTCTGATAATTTTTTTTAAAATTATAATCCTACGTAACGCTTTAAAAATACTAATCTTACGTGGCATAATTCTATTGTAGTGTTTTTAAAGTATTAATCCTACACAGCACTCTAATAAATTTCTTAAAATTATAATCATACGTGGCGCTCTAAAATCTCAGATTTATATATACACATACGTTTGGTTATGTTCAAGCAATCAAGCATAAAAATTATTCATCTATCTGACTATTTGATAATTGACGATATGGTATATGAGTCAAATTCACCTATCCCTTAATTTCTAAATCTCAAACCAAAACGGGTGTTTAATCGTAGGGGTAAGAGATTAAAGAGGTATAGAGAAAGATTTTACTCTGTACTATTCATCCCTTTAGGTTTTGAAGTATGGGTTTAAAGCTTTTAATTTTCGTGTACTTTCTTTCCAAATACCGCCTTCAAATCTCTAACTAACGCCCGCAAAATAAAATATGTATACAAATTTACCCTCATAGTTATAAACAAAGAATTTACCCTTCGTAAATTTAACCCACCACCACCATTTACCACAACCAGAATTTTCTCTCTTTAACAAAGCACCTGCCACCATTAATTTTCTCAATCTTTAAAAATGTTCTCCCTTTAAACCACCACCACCACCACCATTTACCAACCCGCATCATCTCCTTATACTAGTTCAATATAATTTCGCATGGAAATACCGAGGGACAAGGGAAAGGCCGTCGTCGAAGGAGTCGCCGGAGACAAGGTCAGTTTGTTTTTTTTTTTTCTGGAATTGGCGGAAACGCCCTCTTTTCTCGCCAGATCTAGGCTGAAACGCCTAGAAATTTCGATCACCCATTCGGTTATTCGAAAGATCTAGGCGTTTCACCCTAGATCTGGCGAAAAAAGTGGGCGTTTCTGCCCTTTTTTTAGTTTCTGGCGAGAAAAAAAAAATCTAATTGAATGAAGGGGGAAGTTAGTGGGCGTTTCACACTATTTATCTGTACCAGAAGAAAAGGAAGAAAGAAAGCAATAACGTGCACTAATCTTAAGAGAATTTGCAGATTAGAGTTAGAACCTTTGATATATTAAAGTTATGAATATATATTAAACTTACGAATATATATTAACTAGGTTATTTCCCGTGTCATGTACGGTAATTTCAATAACTATTATTAAAATATTATTATAATTAGTTTTTTATAAACAAAAAAATTTAAAAGTATAGTTGACAAATTTCAATCAAAATAAAGGGTTGCGAAAGATATGTTAGATATAAAATGACGTAGAAAATTATCAAAATTGTGTTAAGAATATTTTTTATACTTCGTAGCTATACAAATATTTGTATTAAAGATATGTCAAATCTTTTTTCTTTTAAGTAATTATAGTTTATAAGATTAAAAACTATTTTAGTATAAGATTTATTTTTTTATAGATTTTTATTCAAAAAAAAAAAAAACTTAAACTAAGGACACATCAGAAGATGACACGTGTCATTGCTGGTATGTCTTTTAGTATTAAAGATTAAAGATATGTCAATTATTTTTTATTTTAAGTAATTATATTTTGTAAGATTAGAAACTATTTTAGTATAAGATTTGTTTTTTTTAATAGAATTATATTATTAAAAAAAAAAAAAGAACTTAAACTAAGGACACACCAGAAGATGACACGTGTCATTGCTGGTGTGTCTTTTAGTATATAGTTATTGATTTGTCTTTTAATTCTTGCCTGGAGCAAATAATGGGCAACTTTGTTTTGTTTAGGCTGGGAGATGTACTAGACACTATTTATGCAGTAGTATATATTATTATACTCAATGCTATGGCCATTTTTACTAATTGAAGAGTAAATTCGATAATGTTTAATATTTTTATAACAAGGCTATGTACGTCATTTTAGGTTATTTTGCGGGCGTTAGTTAGAAATTCGAGGGCGACGTTTAGCGGCCCACAAAATAAATGATAACATACCTGAATATTCATTCTTGTCTCAGATCCTGCTTCATTTCCTAAAAATTAGAGCTCATACATTAGATAATTTTATATGAATACAAATACCTATCATCGTACTCCCTCTATCCCAAAATAACTGCAGTCAAATTTTACACATATTTCGATATAATAGTTTAACTTAATTTTTTTTTTTTTTTTTTTTTGATTCAAAATAGTTTAACTTAATTTTTATACAATTAAGTATCAATAAAATCATAAATATTATAACTTTTTTTCAAAAATATTTAGATCTAAATAGCATTTGCAACTAATGGTTATGTATTCTAATCTTTCATATGAGGTAAGTAATAAGATGCATATAATTTTTTTGGTGTTTAATAAGATACATATATAAACATATTTATTTCAAAGAAATTTTTATGTCGTGCATCGCACCAAGCTAATCTAGTTACATCTACATTATTAATTCTCACTTTAATTAGAATAAAAAAAAATGTGCAGGCTAGGAATTAAACACCAAGTTTTCAGCATGCAATCTACATAATTTCACAATTCCAAAATTATACATGCTCCTATTTTTGTTTTATCGTTGAATAATTTATCATAATTATTCCTTTGTTTTACTAAGTTTTACCCGCTTTTTGTTTTCATCCTTATTCTATTTTATTTTATTTTATTTGGTGTTTAGAGAGCCACAATGGCAGATGATGAGAATCAATCCTGAGATCTCCCGTATCTGAAAGGAAAGCTCTAATTTAACCGGCTAAGCTATTTCTCACTCCCTTCATCCTTATTCTATATACTTACTTTATTCCTTTTATAGCAATTTTTTTTATTCATTTTTTATCAACTACAAAGAACCCCACTTTGTGAAGTCCAATTATATTGAAGAATTCCTTTTAGTTACTTTCACTACTAGAAATAGGCCGATTTACGACGGACCATTTTCGACGGACATGTTTTTCCGTCGTAAATTCCGATGGATTTTTATTCCGTCGAAAATTTAAGACGGATTTCCTACGGAATACAAATCCGTTGGAATTCATGGGCTTTCCGGCGGAATATTCCGTCGAAAACTAAATGTTTCGACGGAAAAAAAATCCGTCGGAAATTTCCAACGGAATATTCCGTCGAAACATTTATTTTCCGGCGGAAATAAAATCCGTCGGGAATTTCCGACGGAATATAATTAAATAATAAAAAAAAACCTAACAAACCCTAATAAACCCGGTTTTCCCCTCCCCCTATCCTTTCTATTTTCTCTCTCCTCTTCTCTCCGCCTCTCTTCTCTTTCTCTCTCCTCTCTTCTTTCCTCTTCTCCTCCATTTCGCCTTCTCCTTCCTTCTCTTTCTCCTTCCTTATCCTTCTTCTCTCCTTCCTTATCCTTCTTCGTTCCCTTTGTTCCTCCTTCATTCTATCTCACTCCTTTATTCTATCTCACAACCACAAAACACCGTCGTCCACCGTACCGTCGCTCGTTCATCTTCTAGCAACCGGCATTTGAAGAGAAGCACCTTGTCCACCGTACCGTCGCTCGTTCCTCTTTTAGATCTAGTTTTTTTTTTTAACAATTCAGATTGTAATTAATTTTTGATATAATTGTAATGTTATTTGATTAATTTCATAAGGTAATTGTATATTTATTTATTTTGTTTAATTTCAATTTTTTTTTTAGTTTTTTCGATTTTGTGGTTGTTGTTTCGATTTTGGGGGTTGTGATTTCGGTGGTAATGGGTTTGTGGGTAAGGAAATTGGTTGTTGTTTTGGTTTTTGGTGGTTGTTTCGATTTGGGTTTTTTCGGTGGGTGGGTTAGGTGGTTGGTTAGGGTGGTTGTTCAGGGTGGGTTTTGGTCTGGGTTGGGTGAGTGGGTGGGGGGGGGGGGTTTGGTTCGTGGGTGTGATGGTGGTGGGGGGTGGTCAGGGTGGGTTGGGTAGTGGTGTTGGGTGGGTGGTGCTTGGTGGGTTTCGGTGAGGTGGGTGGGTGGGTCCGGTGAGGTGGGGAGGTGGGTTTACGTCAGGTGGGGTGGTCCGGTGAGGTGGGTGGGTCTGGTGAGGTGGGGAGGTGGGTAGGTCTGGTGAGGTGGGTTAAGGTGGGGAAGTGGTGGCTGGATAGGGTGGTTGGGGTGGTGCTGGGTTTTTTTTCTTTTTTTTAATGCTGTTTCCGATGGAATTTCCATCGGAAGTTTCCGGCGGATTTGTACCCTGTTGGAAATTTCCGACAAACTTTTCCGGTGGACGGAACTCCTATTCCGATGAGCTAATTCCGTTGGAAAACACTATTCCGACGGAAAAGGCCATTTTTCCTACAAATGGGTTTATGACAATCTGTTCCGACGGAAATTCCGTCAGAAACGAGTTTTCCGACGGAATAATTTAAGATGTTTCCAGTGGAAAATTTCCGTCGAAAATGACTTGTTTTCTAGTAGTGTTTATACCTCCCTCTTTAAAGCAAAAGACTCATATAATCACATTCATAGTCTCTATTTTACTTTTCCTTGGTTTATGTAGCTATAATAATAGCATAGAACTCAGAAAAAGAGAGCAAGTATGCATTATTTAGATAATAAATTAATGCTTACATCACATGCGGCATATAGGGCTAGCTAGTTAGTATAATATCAAGTCAAAATTAGATTAGTCAGTTTTAGTATTTTGGTTAGGTTTAAATCCGGTCAATTTAGGTTTCCTATCAAAGTCAGAATGAGGGTTAGGGGGTCTAGTCACTTATCCTAACCTATTACTTTCTCTGTATTTATATAAGGGAAACGTTTTGACTTTTTGCACTCTTTATTTAATTCAGTTTGACTAATGTCGTTTGTGATTTATACATTAGAATAAATATAGTCTTGTGGGTACTTGTTGGAATCGTTTCAATGAATAGTTTATTAGTCTCCAATTGTTATAATTTTTACTTATTTATAATTAAAGATATTATCAGTCAAAAATTTGCATGTATACAAGAGAAACGTTCCACTTATTTAAATACAGAGGGGAGCAAGTGCAAGTTGGGTTCGATTCAAGTCAAATTTGTATCTAATTCAATTTCAAGTTCGGATTGTATCGAGACAAGTTAAGAGTAGATTTTATGACCAATAAATTTGAGTTCGGGTAGAGGCTATTAGAAATCGAGTCGAGCCAGGCATAAGTATATGATAATTGGTGCCTAAATTTTCAAAATAAGGTCAGGCCAAAATGGGTTTTGTCTTTTCGGGCCTTATTCAAGCTGAACTTGAATTTTGGTCGATAAACAATTTTAGAGCTACCCAATCTCACCTCTTTTTCAAATTGGACTGTTGTTGATTTACTAGCCTCAAGGTTTGGGTTCAATAAATATTGGACTTAGTGGTGTATCCAGAAATTTCGAAGTGTGGATTCGAAATCGTGAAAATAAAAAAGAATGAAAATATACAAATCAAAGATTTAATACATAAGTTCATATTTTAAATTACAAATGGATTACACTTAGGAAAAATGAAAAAAAAAAAACTATAAAAGTGTTTTTCGAGTTTTTATACTTTCTAAACGTGTCAAAACTATAGTAATAAACAATAAATATATAATCTAACAATCTAAGTTCTAACTCTACAATCAACAATTCAATTATCAATTATATATCAACTAAACTATTAATCCCAAATCCCCAATATACACTAATTTCTAAGTTCTAACTATACACATGTCCTAGTATAAACAAATGAGTTTGAAAATGAGAAAATGGAAATTTGAGGTTAGGAGAGAGAAAATCTTAATTACCACTACAAAAAAGAATATTGTGGTTGAGTAAAAGTTGAGGTATTAACTGTCGAACCCTTGATCTCCAGCTACCCAATAATAGTTTGCAAGGTACAAAAATACCACTGAGCTGCACTTTTATATGACACTCACTTTAACACAGATATTTGTTTTAAAAGTTTTTTTTCCTGAAAATCAATGGGTTTAATGAACCTATTTGAACCCATCCTGTATACCCCTAATTGGATTAAATAATGATCCGTATAGATTTGGTCAAGTTCAACCTATAGAATTAGGCCTTAATATTCAATCAAGAGTTATAAATAAATATTAAATATGCTATCGAACCTATTTAATTGTGAAGAAGAGGTATATGATATAATAGGGATGTTAAGCTGAAATTGAAAGCTATAAACTAATTAAAACTTTTTTCCATTTTTATCATTGTAATCAAATCAGCTCAAGATTAATTTATGTTTTATCTTGTACTGTGTATCAAATTGTGTAAGAAAAAAAATATAGGTCAGGACATTTGGTTCCGTATTAATTTTTGGGTTTGGTCAATAATAATGGTAGGTCGAGTTATCATGATGAGACGAATAAGTTCAAGTTACATTACACGTTACCAAAGGTCAGGTAAATAGCAAATTATGTAAGGTTATAATCAATTTGTGACTGATTGGGCTGGGTGCTAGTTTGGGCTCAAATCATTGTTGAGTCGGATTAATCAATTATAATTCGTATCAAATCGGGTGCAAGTTTGAGTTTGAATTGGGTCATAAGGTATTAGATCAAAACCATTTTATTAACAGAGTCCATTTAGGTCAAGTTATAGGTCACTAGTTTTACCCCATTTTTTGGGTGCAAGTCGGGTTCAAGTCAGTTTTGGTACATGCATGTTGGTTTCTTGGGTTACAATTTTAGTCAAAACCATTACATGATGAATAACAAAAAAGTTAAGCTATAACATTAAAAAACGAAAGGTGTATATGTAAGTGAATGAATAGTCGAAAGTACCATTTATTATCTCTAGCATAAGAGTTGAAATGACTCTTCCAGCATACGAAGCACCAGCGATGTAAATAGGATTTCTTGCAAATTCAGGATGCTCGATAAGCCACTGCATGAACCACGATTTCAATTAATAAAACACAAAGTATTGGGCGTGTTCGTTTCTTCGCAAATCTATCTACCCAAAAATTATACATATCTAATAACTTTTGTAAAAATTATAAATACTTTATATAAAATGTCTAAAAAACTTATACGAGTTTATAACTTGCAAAAGCTGAGATGTTCATATAAAATGTCCAATATTTTATGGACGAATTACGCGATACTTTCTAACTAGACAAAAGGTCAGATTAGACTATTGAAATTTGATAATACAGAGTACTCATTTTTTATTGATTGGAAATTATAACTAGATTTAATTAGTTAGTAAATAAAAAATTCTAGAACATTTAAAAGATGATAGAGTTTATATCAAAGAAAAACGTTAAAATGAAATTGAAAAGTATTTGGAAAAGGGAAAAGACCAAGAAAATAACGTTTGGGAAGGAGAAGGGGAATAGTTAAACTAGAGAAAGAGAGAAAACATGAACTAGCAAGTAGCAAGGAACCATTCGAAACAATACATCAAATTTAACCTCTTAGGCCATGCTTTGATTGAGGGCAATGATTTAAAAAATACCAAAAGTCAAACTAGAAAAAATAAGTGACGTTATAGGAGATAAGATGTTTACAAATGAAATAACAAAGTATTTGTAACATGTGGAAAAGAGAGATAGATATGGAGAATTATTATTCTCGTAATAATAAGGGTAATAATATAGACACACAACCCTTATAAGAGTACTATTACACCCAAAATGAGGCTAATAGTTCCCTTTTCTTCTCCTCTCACCACAACATTGATCACTATCTCATCCTTCTTTATATCCATTTGCATTATCTTTAATTTGAATTTTATTACCCTTATAATACATTACTCAGTCTCAATCCAAGCATGCCCTTAATATATAAGCACTCCATTTCGCTAAAAATTGAACTAACCTTCTTCAAAAACTCATATGCCTGTTTTACCGTGTTTGTATCACTAGGAATGTAAGATTTGTTTGTTGCATAGGAGAATCCAGCGCCAACAGGTGAATCTATAAATAATACATTTGCAACCTAAAACACATTCATTGCATTGTTAGTTTACACAATAAACACTAAATAAAATTCATATACTGAGTATATATGATGCATCACTTCACAATAAATATTTACTTTATACATGATATACCTAAATATGGATTTTCTATATTTATATTTTAACTCGTAATTTTTGGTTTTTTAAAAAGACACCATAAATTATTCAAATGTCTCTCTTCCGTTATCAGAAAGTTAAATCACTCAGCTCCTTCTCACAATAAATTAAGAGTTAATTCACTTTCTTTTATCTCAATATATATATTCAATAAAATGATACAATGTAATCTACTAGTGCCTTGTATGTTGTATCACATCTACTTTCATGTGAAGTAACAACTGATAACATACCATCAACTTATCACATAAAACAATGTACTCATTTTTTTTCAACAACATAGATGAACTTTTCTTAGAGCAATATAGAGGAACTAGCTATAAGTACATAAAAACCGTGGTAATAAATAGATAAATATTTGGATTACCTTGGTCCAAGAATAAGGATTTGATTCAAGTCTCGGTAGACCATCCTCCCATTGTGATGATATGTTGAAGGATAGAGGACCTTTGTTGTCATCACAACATTACTTTATTAGAAATTAACAAAGCTTATATTTTAATTAAAGTTCCCCCCCCCCCAAAAAAAAAAAAAAAAAAAGGTTGAGGATGGGCTAACATATTTTGTTTATTTTTTGGAAAAAAGGGTCGTGTGTGCTAACATATTTCAATTCTTATGGCTCCATGCCTCCAATTGGTAGGAGATCGATACTGAAGGGTCGTGTGTGCTAACATAGTTACTACTTCGTATAATGACTACTCCGTATGCAATAGAACCCCTCAAGGCCTCGAGTGATAGTGACGATAATACATTTCTTTCTAGAGGCATAAACTAATAGTTACAAATTTTTGTATATATAACTAAATTCATTCTATTGCTATAATTTATTATCAATTATATCAAATGGCCCAAAAAGAGAGGAAAAAAAAAAAGACAATTAAAATTAAGTAAGATGATGACATGATATTGAGACAATTAAAGTGGATTTAATAATTTATCCCCCTTGAGAAGGAAAAAAAAAAAAAAAAAAGTGGATATAATGATTTATTACCAATATGTCCAAAAACAAGATCCGTAAAGGAAGAGCAGCCGGGTCCTCCAGCAAACCAAACCAAAAGTGGATCTGTTTTTGGGTTATTCTCGTATTTTATAAAGTAGTAAAATAGCTGCATTTGCTCCTCCCATACTCCAATATATCTACAGTAATATTGTTGATGTTAATTCATTATTCATGCTACCCAACAAATTAGTAAATTTGTAGTAAAAATAACATAACATACTACTCAGTATATTAATATTTGGACAGAATGTATTGGAAGTTGGTTGGTTTTATATATGTTAATATTGTATATTTGTCAAGTTTATCTTGTTAGGAATTTTAGGCAAGTTAGATCTTGTTTTGTATTGTGTATATATATATCGTGAATATCAATACAAAAGCCAAGCCGTTTTCTCTAATATTCTTGACTTTAACAGAGCCTCTCTAATTTCAAGAGATTTTTTTTAATTAGCCTAATAATTAGACCAACATTTTGAGCCCTAGCCCCTCGTTTACATCAAAAAAAAAAAAAAAAAAAAAAAAAAAGCAATTAGACCAACATATAATGACATGTTTAGTGTCAATTGTCAAACACATCATTAATTTAGAAAAATATAACTATTCAATACTTGTCTACAGTATAACTTAATGATAATAATATAACATTGCATCAAGTTTCTTAATGTGACAAATGTCTCACCCAAGGTACAAGGACTAGTGGGTAGGAGTGTAGAACCGTAGGACTAAGGGATTTGTTTCGTCTGGTTACTTTCACTTAAAAATAAAATAAAAAAATAAAAAATAAAAAAAACATTTTCTAATCTTTTAATTGCATTATTAGAATTATACTCCATAGCACATTTCTTATTAACCATCTTTCGTGATCTGTGAAGAAAAATATATTTGTGAGAATCTGTTTAATTTGTCTCAAATTTGGTCGTTAAAACCAGGGATCTTTTAATGAAATAGTCATTCTAACCAAACTATTCATCAACATAGCCATTGACCGCACAAAATTCAACCACTTAAGCATGGCCTAAACTCATAATCACATGTTAAAAAAAAAAAAAAAAAAAAAAAAAAAAAAAAAAAAAAAAAAAAAAACTCAACTCATAACCATGTTGTTTTTGCGTGCCTTGATTGAATTTAACATGTTTTGTCATGTTAAAAAAAATATCAAGAAGTGAATTTACCAATACGTCCAAAAACAAGATCCGTAAAGGAAGAGCAGCCGGGTCCTCCAGCAAACCAAACCAAAAGTGGATCGGCTTTTGGGTTATTCTCGGATTTTAAAAAGTAGTAAAATAGCTGCATTTGCTCCTCCCAAACTCCAATGTATCTACAATTATATTGTTGAAATTAAATCATTCATGTTACCCAACAAAGTAATATATTTGTAATTTTTTTTTGGACAAGAATAAATTTGTAATAAAAATAACATAACAACTATATTAATATTTGGGCCAAAGGATTTATTAGCCTAATAAAGCATCCTCACTCGTTGATTAGACCAACATATGATGACATACTAGTTTAGATCCTGTGTCATGCACGGTTATTGTTAAACCTATTATATCATTAATCATTTTGACTTAATAAAACATCTTATATCAATCACTAATTATAGTTTATAAAAATTATTATATACACTCTGGTTCAAAAGTATTTCTTGCTTCCTGTGATAATTAAACGAACAATATTTATCAATATACACAAAAGATAATCTTGAATACACATTACACCCAGGTAAATATAAGAATTCTGTCACTTTTCTTAATTTGACTTTTGCATAATTTACATACATCACATTGACCAACGTTTGTTATAATCGTATCAATGTATAATATTCGAACATTTATAAAAAAAAAAAAATAAATAAAAAAAAATAGAGAGAGTATAATCTTCATATTTCAAAGGTTATTTAACACAGTAAATAAATGAAGTTGACTCAGACAAAAAAAGAAGAAGTAATATCCTGAATTCCTGATACATTAGCTATATCATCGACGACAATAATTCTATTGTAATGTACTCCGTAGCTCAGGTTGGATTATTTAAAGAATAACCAAAAGGTTTGATTATTGATCTAACCAACTAAAACTTTGCTTATTTTTGATAATACAAATTTTATTTATATCCATATAGCAAACTCATGAAAAGGATTAATATTACATAAAAACAATATTAATCTAAAAATACCTTAATAAATAAAATATTTATAATTTCCATACTTCGATTAATATAAGATGTACTATTTTCCCAATCTATGCGATCTTTTTCTAATATAGATCTACTATATTTTTTCTTATAGTATAACATGTCACGAAATATGTCTAAAATCTTATCACAAAGTACCATTTTTATTTATAATTGTCAGTATTGTATGTTAAAAGATACAAAGTATATTAAATCTTTTATTTTAAGTAATTACTATATTAATGAATTGAAGATAGTTATTATGTGGGTAAAAAATCTTTTTAAATAGTTTTTTTTAAATAATTAAATTAAGGACACACCAAAAAATCACACGTGTCATTGTTGGTGTGTCTTTTAGTATATAATTATTGATTTGACATGATTAGTGTCAATTGTAAAACATATCATTAATTTAGAAAAATAAAACTATTTTTTAATATATAGATTAATAATACAGAGTAATAAGCAATCCATTTGGCCGATTCAAAATACGGAGTGACTTTGTATTGAATTTCAATACACTACTCTAAAGGAGTGTTTTGTTCAATAAATTGAAATGGATTAGTATAGAATCTCATAGTAGAGAGGTATGAATTTTAAAACTCATACTAGTCTAAAGTTATTTGGTTTTAATATTAAAATAGATTATATGCTTTAGTAATAAAATGAATTGTCAATCTTAGGGGAAGAGTTGATTTCATAAGTGTGGGGTAGAAAAAGAATCCCTTGGGTATGGAATTCCGTAATTAAAAAGCTCAACCAAACAAAAAATAGATGGAATAGATTCTAACTCTATTTTAAATAATCTAACCAAACGACCCCTAAGTATAAAATGACTACCAAGCAAAGTTTGATCTAGTGGGAAAGTTTGCATCTCACAACCAAGAGGTTGTGGGATCAAATCCCACTAAAGGCACTTTGGGTGTGGGGATTCCTTTACCCCCAAACATTTCCATATAATAGTGCCTAACTCGCTAACTCGGACCGGAAAGACATGTGAGTAATTCTGACTCGATAAGGTTCTTCTCCATACCAACCAAAAAAAAAAAAAAAAAAAAAAAAAAGGTATAATCGACTTCCTTCTTTTAACTATAAGTCTATAATCTTATGGATGGGACTAGTGGGTAGGAATAATGGATTTATTTGGTTACTTTTACTTTATGTCATTTTTTAGGTCTTTTATTTTTTTATTTTAGGTCTTTTTTTTTATTATTAATTTTATTTTCTAATCTTTGTATTATTGGAATTTTACTTCATTGCACATTTCTTATTAACCATCTTTTGTGATCCGTGAAGAAATTTATACTTGTGTGGATCTGTTAATTTTGTCTCAAACTTTGTTATTAAAACTAGGATTTTTTTTTTTTTTTTTTAAAGTAGTCATTCCAACAAAGTTATTTATCAATATAGCCATTGACCGCACAAAACTCAACCACTTAAGCATAGCCTAAACTCATGAGTAATACTAGGCGTATAGCCTCTATATTTTGTGTTTGCAAATAGGAGGGTAAATAAGTCATTTGATATTCAAAACGGTACTTTTTATGGTTATAATGGTATTATTTTGTGTACTATTATGCATATATATTTTTCCATTAGATTATAGATTGTCTTAGTAGTATTATTATATCTCACAGTGATTTAATATTTTGATGTACCATTTACATACTTATTTTTACTATTAGCAAAATATTTATACCACTACAACATTTAATGGTACTATTTACCTATGAAAGGATACTCTATATATTTTCATGTCCTGCGCATAAAAATTTATATAGACACTATGCGCTAGTAGTTTTCCTAAACTCATATGCTATCATGTTGTTTCTGCGTGCTTAAATTGAATTTAAGATATTTTAACGTATTTTCACATGTTAGAAATTTTGCATAGTTTAACGTGCATAATAGTGTGTTATGTTATGCCTGCTCCGTGTCCTTTTATGTTGTGTTACAAAACTTATAATTATATTATTATTATTTTTTTTGAAACATAATTGTATTATTATTTGAAGTTTAAAGAAAATAAATACTCCCTCCGTCTCTTATTTACATGCCTATTTCTCTTTATTATGCGAGTAATAGATGTTAGAAATAGGCATGTAAATAAAGGACGAAAGGAATATTGAAAAGGACTTTTTGTGAAGAAGTACCTTATAAAAAAAAACTGTTGTAAGAAACTACCTTATAAACACTAAATGTTGTAAGAAACTATCTTATAAAACATTTAATGTTGTATGATGCTACCTTTTACCGGATTATTGCTTTGAATAAGGGACGTTTAATGACCCATTTTCAATAATTTTTCTCCTTTTACCACCCAATTTCTCCATAGCCCCCTTATAACCCCTAATTCTCCTTTCTCTTTCATTGTTGAATCAAGTATATGGTAACAACTTACAACATTTAGTTTTTATTAGGTAGTTTCTTACAACAATTTTTTTATAAGGTATTTTTTTATAAAATTTGATGTATATAAGGTAATTTTTCACAAAAGTCCTATTGAAAATCAAAATAGATATATAAGCTCTTAAATAAACCTGATTCACATTCATTTATTGTCAACCCCTAATAGTAGAGATACACTATAGTCATTTTATCAATGAAAAAAATGGTAACTGTGTTAAAATAAAGGTTATTATGTTGAAATAAAAGTCGTGTTATTTATTATAAAGGTCATAAATGATTTTTTTAATAAAATTTTTAATATACTGGTATAATAAAGGTCACTATATAAAAATTGGGGTCATCATGTTCAACATAACCACGTATTTCAGATTTCACATTAATATTAAAGGTCACACAAGTTTTAACAAAAGTTACTATGTTAAAATTAAAATTATTAAAATTAGAGTCGCTATATTCAAATTAAAACACTGTTAACTGCGCGCATAATCTTTGGTCCACAATTATATCGTTGTGAACTCCGTTCATACAAATTATTTCCAAATAGATAAGTTTAACAATTAGGCAAAAGAATGGTTCACACCATTGTTTCACTCACAGCCACACACAAAAAGGACCGGTTCACATTAAATGCAAATTAATTGTAATGATTTGAAACGTTTTTGGATTAAAATAATATATTTGTGGCTATAATGATATAATCTACTACCCAACTCAATGATTTTGTATTTTTGTTAGATAAAAGAGTAATGGAGTATATATTTAAAAGCGTTCTAAAACTACAAACAAGATTTCAGCAAAAACTACAAACAAGATTTGATCTCTCATTTGCAATTTAAAGCACTACATTGTTAAATAAATTCTTAAATAAGATGGACTTTTATAAGTTATTGTAAAATGGGTTGAAGTTTCCCTAAAAATATTTAAAGTTACTTTTTTTATACTATTACCATTTATATAACAAAAATTTTACAATCAAAGCCCACTGTAATAATCATAAATTAATCATAATAGCCTAGTAGCCTTCAAAAGCATGTATTTATTATAAATTACACATTATAATACAATCAAACTTATAAAGATTAAAGGTTACCTTTAACGGGGTTAAAGTTTTCATAAATATTGTTAAAATTACCCTTAAATTAACGGTCTTACAATAAAAAGAAGATAACCCTACTTTACACAACGCTTATAATTCCTCAATATACGTCTTTCACTGATATACGAAGGAGTATTGTGAAATGTACTTCTATATACGTCTATCAAAATATAATGAAGGAAAAAAAAAAGAAAAAGAACAGAATTAATCAATTATGCAGAAGAGTATAAATGTTACAATAACTAGAAGCATCTGAGCTAATTACAAGTAGTTTTTTTTTTTTGACAAGAAATTACAAGTAGTTAGAGTTTCAAAGGAGTAATTTAAATATGGTTAACAAAAGAACTAATAAATCAACAACTTGTTTGTAGCATTAAGTATGAATTAACAAGCATAAACATCTAAATAATGCAATTAAAAATAAAAAAAATAAAAAAAAAAAAAAAAAAACAGAGAACGTAATCGACATATATAAAAACATACCCAGTTTGAAGATTGAAAGGGAGAATTCCAGGGAAGCCAGGTAGAAATCGAACAGTATTTGAATTTGAATGCGATGTATTTGTATTTGAATTTGAAGTGGTATGATAATTGTTAGACAACGCAAATGATACCAAACTCATCGTCAATACTAAACTCAGATGAGTTACAAATTTCATATTAATCATTTCGATTCTTGAAATTTAAGGAAATTGAAGAAACAAATTTTTAAATACAGTGATAGAAAGAGAAGTTCAACGAACTATGGAAGTCTCCTACTCTTTTAAGTTTTAACATTATTCGTCATAATTATTGATATTATTACTCCATCCGTGATCCGTCCAGGCCCAATGGTGGTCCGTGTCTTTGGGTGTCATAAAATGTTGAAATTGTTTACAATGTAGAATTATAAGATACGTCATCATTGGCCCGTGTCTTTGGGTGTCATAAAATATAATTGATTGCTTAGATTGCTTTGATTCTATCAATAACTTAACAACAAGTTTTGCATGCTCTCGGTTTACAGCAAAATATTGTAAATTCGGCGGTGCAGTATGTGCAAGCATTTATTTTGTTTTTTTTTTTTTCAATCCGAAAACAAAACACGCGAAATCGACCTCAAATTTAGAAATTGTAGAACAAAATGGAGGAGGGAGAAAGTGAGAACATGCAGAGAGAAAACGCGAAAACGAGTACCTTAGAGCTTCGATCATCAATGGAAAATTCATCAGCAAACTTCAATACCTTAAATTGCAGTAATCTGATCTATGAATTTCTACAAAAATAGAGGCAAATTGAAACTCCATTGTTAGGTGATTTTGAGAACTCGGATTCTTTTGTTGAAATCGATTTAAATCGATTGATCATAGAAGAAGAAACAAAGAGTTTTAGAGATGAATTTGTTCCAATTTTTGACGATAATAACAATCCTGACACTGAATTTGGAGGTAATCAATTTTTTGGAGATAATAGCAATCCTAACACTGAGTTTGGAGGTAATCAAATTGACAATGCAGAAGAAGCAATTGACAATGCAAAAGAGATAGAAAATCAGGTGGTTCCTCGTAAATCAATTGATTCAAATGCAACTGAAGGTAATTTCTATACAATCAACCTTCTAATTAATCATAATTCATATTGTTTTATTTAATTGTTGAGTAACCAAATTAGTTGAATAAGTGATCCATAATTGTTATTTTTTATATGAACTTATGTTACCTGTATGAATGCAACATTGATAAAAGTTACCACAAATTACTCTTGAGAAAATTCAGGTTGTATGTTTAAAAGTTACCCTTTGTATGCACAAATGTTACCCTTTTTATGCATAAAAGTGACCCTTTGTATGCACAAATGTTAACCTTTTGTATGCAAAAACGTTACCCTTTGTATGCACAGATGTTACCCTTTTTATGCATAAAAGTGATTCATATAAAACATAGTATTACTCCCCTTCACTTTGATTTCTCTAACAGAATGATATGCTGCCTCTGGTTTTCTGATATGTCTATATTAAATCACAGATGCAAATCCAATTGATGCTTCTAGTTTAGATCTTAGAGGATCATTTGTCGGTGTGGTAAGAGAAACTTTTGCATAAATTTTGGAATTGTATGAAAAACATGCTACTATACTAGGGTTTTCAATAAGAAAGCATACAACAAGATACTTCACACACACAAAGATAGTCCTAGAGAAAAATTATGTGTGTTCTGTAGATGAAAGAGAAATCCAGATGACAAGAAAACAAAATTAGTTGAAATGGTTGATGAAGAGAATGTAAATTTGAAAAAAAAAAAAAGCCAAGACAAGTAGCCATTACACGATCTGATTGCAAGGCATGCATAAGAGCGAAAGTAAATAAAGGACAGTTTGAGGTGGTGGCACATGTATTACAACATAACCACGAGCTAACAAGGTCACAATGGCATTATTCGCATCATTCTGAAAGAAAAATGACAGAAGAAAAAGTTGTAGCAATCAAAACAATGAATTCTTCAGGTCTAACTACAATGAACACTTATAATTACATGGCTACAGAAGCTAGAGGAGAACAGAATGTAGGGTATAGTGTTGTAGATCACCTGAATTTCTGCTTAAGGTTAAGAATGGAGCAAATTGAGGCTAGAGATTCTCAAACTTTAGTGAACATTTTAAATCAGGAACAATCAGAGGATTCAAACTTCTGTTTTAGAGTGAAGTTTGACAATGAAGGAAGAATTTCCAATATATTTTGGAGAGATTCAATGATGCTTGAAGACTGTAGGATATATGGAGATGTGCTTGTCTTTGATACAACTTACAGAACCAACCAATATAATCTTATATGTGCTCCATTTGTTGGCATAAACAATCACTGGCATAATTGTATGTTTGCATGTGCTTTTATTGGGGATGAAAAAACGAAATCGTTTGTGTGGCTACTAGAAACCTTCAAGAAAGTTATGGAGGATAAAACACCAACCTCAATATTCACTGACTAGGACCAAGCAATGGAAAATGCAATTGAGCAGGTAAAAAGTTTATATTTACATGTTACCCTAACTAATAAGTTCTGACAACATAAAATATTTGACCATCAAAGCACAAGTTACCCTTTTTAGTGCATAAAGTAACCCTTTTAACTGCATAAAGTGACCCTTTTTAGTGCATGAAGTGACCCTTTTATTTTAAATGTAGGTGCTTCCTAATACAAGGCATAGACTTTGTATCTGACATTTGGAACAAAATGCAATAACCATATTTGGGGCTCTAAAAAAAGATAAAGAGTTCAAGTATGCATTTAACCAGTGCTTAAAGTGGTGTGTGACAGAACAAGAATTTGAAGAAAAGTGGCAGGCAATGATGCAGAAATATGACTCGACAACACACTCTTGTTACAAAAGAGTGTACGAATTGAAAGAGAAATGGTGTCCTGCCCTTAGTAGAGATTTCTTTTCAGCAGGAATTTTGTCGTCACAAAGGAGTGAAGATAAATCATGCTATAGGGTTCAAAGCAAGTAAAGCAACTATCTTGACAGAATTTTATACCATATTTAAGAAGACAACCAATCGTTGGAGAAGCACAAAAAAATATGATGAGTTTACTTGTAGCAAGTCAATAGCATTCACTTCATTGCCACTGTCCGAAATGCTAAAGCATGCTACACAAGTAAAAAGTTATATTCAAAAGTACATAAATAACACAAAATATATAGCAACTTAACTGTAGCTACATGATTTTGGTGCACAGGTTTTCACTTTGTCACTCTTCAGAGATTTTGAAGAGGAGTTTGGATACTCTATGGCAACAACTGTTCAAATGATAGAGAGAACTGAAGAATGTGTACCTTATCAAGTATTCCTAAAAGACAAGTCATGGTCTGCACATCAAGTAAACTATATGCATGAGAGCCAAAGTGTATGGTGTACTTGCAAAAATTTTAAAGCATCTGGATGGCTGTGTTATCATTGCATCAAAATTCTACATCTACATTCAATAACAAGAATACTAGACAAGTATGTTACAAAAAGGTGGACTAAGTTTGTAAAAATAGAGGTGGAATAGGTTGAAGAATCAAGATCCTACACAGCGATATATACCATGGAAGCAAACAATGATGAGGAAATACTACAATTTAATCTTAAAAAGTCTAGAAAATGAAGAGACAAGAGCATTTATGGAAGAAAGCTTTAGAAATAGTCTAAAAATGGTGGAAGACTTACTTGCTACTACTTCTTAGAGAGAAGAAGGTGATGAAGCTGCTTATGACATTCCTGATGTGGCAGACAGCACTCATAGCAATAATAATGTTTCTTCAGCATCTAGTACAAGCACAAGTGTACCAACTATACTTGATCCTAAAAGAGCTGTAACAAAAGGAAGAAGCAATAGAGCAAAAGGAGGGCTTGAAAAAGGTAAGAGAAAAAAGAAACCAGCACTGCCACCTCCACATTCAGAATTTGGATCAAAGACACCTAACATACGACTCTTTTAAGAATTTGTTACTACCAAAGTTAGAACATTTTTTTTTTTATCATTGTTATTATACTTTGTATTATTTACTATTTTTTCTTTTTTTTAATCTATAAATAGTTTGGTTAAAATTTAAATGATACTCTTATTAGCACAATAGTGAGAACATGTTGTTATAGTGAAAACATGAACAGAGTAAACGCATACCCTTTTGTGCACAAAGGTTACACTTTTGTGAACATAAGTTACCCTTTTATGAGCATAAGTTACCCTTTTTATGCATAAAAGTTACCCTCTCTACCCACAGAAGTTACCCTTTATATGCACAAAAGTTACCCTTTCTATGCACAAAAGTGACCCTATAAAAAAACTGAAGTGACCCTTTTAACAGTATGAAGTGAGCCTTTTAACTGCATGAAGTGACCCTTTTTAGCGCATGAAGTGACCCTTTTTAGTGCACAATTAAAAAGAAAGATATATACAAAATAACATTTCAAATTACTTAATGTATGCACATACATTCAGTTTACCAAAAAAAAAAAAAAAAAATAAAAAAATAAACCAAAAACTACATTCAGTTTAAAAAAAAAAAACCACCAAAAACTATACCTAATCACCATAGAAAAATTAATTACATAATTATACTTGATGTATACACATACATTAAGTTTTCAAAATATACTACTACACCTAATCACTAACAAGTCATTTCACTCTTTAGAAGGAGTGTACTTTTTTGTTTGATTTTTGCCCTTTTTTCTTTGGGATTTTCTTCTGTTGCTTTTGCCTTTTCCTTTGCTTCTTTCCTTTCTTGCTTCTCTCTTTTTCTTCTCAGCAATTGCAGCCTTTCTTCTTTCTTTAATTTCCTTGACATAATCAACATTTTTCTTCCTCTCATTGAACTTGGCTAATTCTGCCAACCTCACAACAGAGAAAAAAAAAACTTATCAATATGAAAGAACTTAAACATCCGAAAGGGAAAAAAAAAAGACAAATAGATGAATACTTATTATTTTGAGTTCATTTAATATGAACAATTCACCAACAAAATGGAGCATGTGATACATGACAAACACTCCACAGTCCGTGTTGTCAATCTTAGTCTTTCTCCATTCCAAATCAACAATTGTAAACTTGTAGAAAGGTAAGTGAGTACTCTTTGGAAGATCTCTTTTGCCAAGAAAATCACCCAATTGATTCAACTGGTAAAAAATATAAAAGTTAAGAACCCATTGAATACAAAAAAAATAAAAAAATGGAAACAATAAACTTGTATATACAAAAAGCATATCACTTTTCAATAACAGGAACATACCAGATGAAAAGACAACTTTATAAAGTAGTCGATAGTAGAATCACACCAAATAATATTCTCAAGATAGTAAATCAACTCTTTTGCATGATCAATAACAAACCAAACGTAGTGATCCTCAACAAGAATAGGAACATAAATCTGAAACAGTAAAATTAAAAGTGCTATAATGAGCATTTCACAGACATAACTCTTTTAAGGGTATGATATTAGTTTAGCATGAAATATACCAGTTCAAAATCCATTATATCACATTCAGGATTCTCGTAGCTGACCCACCCTTCCCATATACCATGCAAATCGTTAACAACAATAGAATTGCCACCTTTCTCATTCTCACAAACGTGCAACAATGTAAACTATTAAACTATGAGGTCAATATATAAATATAAAATCAATGTGTTTAAATATAAAAATATCAAGTTACTTACACTTTGCCTCACACCAAAAAAGAATCTTTGAGGACCAGAAGACTCAAAACATGCTACCTCATTCAAATACAGAGCATAGCAATCAACAATGCACCATCGAATCTTAAGTGGAGCGGCAATGGACACACCATATCTTCTCTTGGAACTAGAAAATTCAACCCAAAAGTCACAAGGTTCTTACTGCAACGATAAAAAATACGATAAGCATTAAATAAATCAAGGTAAAAAAAAACAGATAAAGAATATTGATGACTGAAAATGACACTTAACTTCTTATACATTGATTCATCCTTCAGCAAACAATAATCAAGAACTTCCAAATGTAACTGAGGCAAACGCTCAAAAATCCGAGTGTTACCCCTCATAAAAAGAGTCACAAAAGGCACCTTCTGACCTACTGGCCCATAGTCCAGTGAACATAAAGATTTATAGATCTGATAGGAGGTTCAGGAACATCTTCATTAGGTCCAGGAACATCTTCATTATAACCAGAGTAAGGAACATTTTCATTATTACGACGTTCAAGACCATCTTCTTCACGAAACTGAAAAACTCATGTGGAGATTTCATCTTCATACACTCCTTAATTATACCATTCAAAAGCTTATGATAATGAGGATCAGAGAGTAATTGTTGAGTTTGAGAAACTGCTACAGGATCCTCAAAAGACAATGAAGTAATTCTTTCAAAAAGAACATTGGTAACCAAATCACTCAAAGTTTTAAAATCCTTTGATTGAACGCTTGAAAAAACATACATATTTCTTTTAAGCAAAAGAAATGATTCATGAACAACCTACAAACAGAGAAAGAAAAATAATGAAAAAGTTACTTAAACTGAAAATTTAGAGTAACTTTAGTGCACATAAAGAGTAACTTTTGTGCACATAAAGGGCAACTTTTACTAGAATAAAGGATAACTACTAAACCAAAAAAAAAAAAAAAAAAAAAATACTTACATCAGTTGAAATTTGTTTGATTTCATCATCTGTCATGACACCATCTGAAAGCTCAAATTGAACAAAGCAGCCAATTGTATCACTTGAACAAGCACCACCAACATTTAAATCACTCTGATCAAATCCCAAAGTAAGAGGTTTCTTAACAACAGTTTGGCTAATTGCAGGCTGTGACAAAGGATATGTAGATATGGTCCCTGCCCAAAACCACCAACTTTAACCTCTAAATTAATTCGACTCTCAACCTTAACATCTGTCCAATGTTGAATCAAAAGAAGGCTACAACTTTTCTTTTCGTCCTTGAAAGTTTAAACAATGAAAATACAAAATTTGCAAAACCAACAACACATCCACTCACGCTCTGAGCAGTAAGATCCTTGTTATACTACACCAAAACAACCACCACCGCTATGTACAATGTATTTGATAGAAAGGTCGAACATTATAACTAACTTCCTCAAAACATAAGAACATCAATAAAAAGTTTTTATTCCATCAACTTCTTCAACAACCTTTAGCAACTTCAAAGAAACTGTCCTATTAGGAGTAGGAGTTAAAAAGCTACACATAGCATGAACCACAAAAAACCTCTTAAATTCTACCCCTCCATCAACCAACTACTGCATCCGAGACTCTAATATTGACAAAGGAATAGCTTGCTTATCCAAAACATCCAAATCAGATCTCCATGCCTGAAGAATACAGTTGTCTACACTTGCAGCTTTAACATTTTTCTTGAGTTTAAGAACAGGAATATCACCCATTGGCAAGCAAAACACATCACATACATCATTCTTAGTAACTACAAATTCCTTACCACTAGCAACGGTACACATGCAGTTACCACCTTTAAAGTTTTTAACAAGCCAAGGAAGCATTTTACGACAGAGTGTTTTCAATTTTAAATGTAACAAACCGCCAAAACCAACTTCTTTAACAGCTTATTTTTGTTTCTCACTAAAGTTCTTCACCAAATTACCCAAGGTATGTGGTATACACCATGTCATCAAAGGTTTTTAGACCCTAAATAATTTTTTTTTTTAAGAAAAAAGTAACTAAAACAATATAGATTGCAAACAAAATATAATAAAAAAATGCAAATCAAGAATCATTGAAAACAAATTCTCTTATAGTGAAGTATCAGAATCAGAATCAAAATCAAAATCCAATTCCAACTCCAGTTGAGGACTCCTCTTTCTCTTCTTTACATCAGGTACTGTTTTGACATTCTTACGAACTGTTTTGACCTTCGTAGGTACTAGATTACCCTTAGCAGACTCTTCAGGTACTGTTTTGGCCTTCTTAGGTACCATTTTGACCTTCTTAGGTACTACATTACCCTGAATAGACTCTTTAAGCATTGCTTTTACCTTTGAAGGAGCTTTATAACAATATTCACGTATAGAACCACCTATATCAAATAGTTATGCATAATGATTATACAAGTTGTATAAAATGATCCTTTTAACAGCATAAAGTGACCCTTTTAACTGCAAAAGTGACCTTTTTAACTACATAAAGTGACCCTTTATATGCAAAAAAGTTACCCTTTTAACTGCATAAAGTGACCCTTTTTATGCATATAAGTGACACATATACCACATAGTATTACTCCCCTTTACTTTGATTTCTAAACACAATGACATACTGCCTATTCTCATACTCTACCTAAAAACCACGATCAATTTCAATTAGCATACTCTGCTTAAAAATCAACCAAAAAATTCAATTACAAACTCTGAAAATAACATGCACTACTTATTGGACATATAACAACACATTAATAAGTAATTTATAAGCAAGTAAATACAATAAACAAAAATTAAAGCAAAATTAAACATATTAAATTCAAAATTGAATTCCAATTATCATAATCTGCCTAAAACAAAGCAAAAAATTGAAGAACAAATTCTTAAAATAACATGCAGTGGTTGTTTCACATATAACAACACATTTATAAGCAATTTTTAAGCAATTAAATACAATAAAAAAAAAATAAAAGCAAAATTAACTTCAAAATTCAATTACAATTATCATGCATGCACTAGTCATTGGCGTATAACAACACATTTATAATAAGCAATTTACTTGAAAATTGAGTTGAAAACTCTAAAAAAAATCCTGAAAAAATTAAGAATACGAACCTGCATCATCTGACGACTTTTTGTACTCTTCTTCTTCACCATTGCAGAATATGAACACTATTAAATAACGAAACAAAAAAAAATAAATCAAAAAACCTAAATATCGAAGAATCAAAACAACTAAATGTAACAAAAATGCTCAAAAAATTAAGTAATCAAACCTGAACTTAGCAAAAAAAACAACTTCGCAAGTGAAAGAGAAGAGAGAAAAAGCTCGAAAATCACCGGTTGAGGAGAGAGAAAATTGTCAGTTAAGGAGAGAGAAAATCGCAAGAGAAAATGACGAAGAGAGAGGAAGTGGTGACTGAATGAGGAAGAGAGAGAAAATTGTTTGTTTTGGCAATTAAAAATTTGCACGTGTGAGTTGAATTTTGGGAAGTAAATGCTTTCCCACAAATTCCGCTACACATAAAGTTATTGTCAATCCGATTTTTTTAAACATTTGTGATAACTTAATACTAAAACAGACACCGGGAGTAACACGTGTTACATCCTAGTGTTGTTTTTTCCCTCCAAAACTCCCCTTCCCTTTTTAACCATTTTTATTTTGTTAATATTTGATTCTATAATAATATCATCCCAAATTTTTCATATTATTTTTATGACAAAAAAAAAATTCCCTTATACTTGGTGTTCATAATTTTTTCTATATACATTTACCTAAATAATTATTCCAACTCCTTTTTAAAATATCTTTTAAATGGAGTATTATAAGATTTTGCCAAAAAATTAATGATAAATTGATTCATATAATAGATGTTAAAGAAATTACTTTAAAACATCACTTAATTAATTAATTTATTTTTTATTTTATTTTATTTTATTTTTTTTGCCAAATACCTCTAGCTAATATCATATTTCAATTTTAGTATAATTATACATTCAAATTAATTAGAATTTTATTTCTGAAATTTTACTACTGCATATATATTATCACAAATTAAGGATTTATAGAGTATAATATAGCTATAAATAAATGTTGTATTTGACAATTATATCATATGTCTAATTCTAGGGAAAGGTAAAAATATCAATTAATTTTTTTGTAAATTACGTAATTAAACAAATCAATATCTTAGTAAAAGCAAAAAAAATTATTATCTTTTGCTGAGACACTTGATTGAGATAATAAATTTATTACATTCAAAATTCATAAATAATCTACATACTGAAAGACACGTCAGACGTAATGACAATTGATATCTCCTTTTGTTTTTTTTTGGATATATATATATATATATATATATATATATATTATCTACAATTAAACTTTTAAGACAATAAACAAAAATGATTAAACTACAATTATTGGTTAGCTTTAAACACATTTTTTTATAGCAACAAAGAATGACGATATTGTATATGTAGAGCATCAATCCATAAACTAAAAATGTAATAGTATAGATTAGTGTTGCCCAATTATTGATTGTTCATGTATATATATATATATATATATATATATATATATATATATATATATATATATATATATATATATATATATATATACACATGTGTGTGTGTTGTGCACTTTTGCTAAAAATTTTAGTGGAGATTTTAGTCTGTTGTTGATTAATTTTTTATGTTTATTACAAAGTCATTTTGTAAATAAGTATTTACTAATATGGCCACTAGACCTGATTAAACCAAGCCCACTTGAAAAAATTCTTAGGTTTAAGCAGCGCAAAAAATCCATTTTTGTTTAATTTTTTACTTTGGCTATTAATATAGATTATGACGTTATAATTTTTATATATTTGATATGTATGTTTTATTAAATTTTATTTGTTGGATATAATTAATTTTCTTTTAAAAAATTAGACTTACCATGAATGGCATGGGCCTTAAGCTAGTGTTAATATACTTGATGGAACATATTATTTAAAGACTTTTGGAAATGATAGTATTTTTGGGCTCATAAAGTTTTAAAGTATAATGCAATTATCAAGAATCACAAACATGTAATTGTATTTGGTCCAAGTGGGAGATTGTAAGAAATTTATGGACCTAAATACAATAATGTATGTGGACTATACGGTTATGATTGTATTTATACGCTATCATATAGTTTATCCCAAAAATAAAGTGATCCATTTAAATAGTTATTATTGTTGGGATTGTTAAGTCTTTTATAGGATATGAGTTTAGTTTTTATATGTAGAGACCGTTGGACCTTTTCTAATGCGTGATGGGCGGATTAGGGAAGGGGGTCTATATAAAAGACATCTAGGGTTATGGTCCCTAGTAGTACATGCAATAGACTCTCACTTATATCCCATCAATAGAGAGAAAACCCTAGAGTGTGTATCTACTAGAAGACGCATAATTAAGAAATGACCTGATCAATTGTCATGGAATCAAGTACGCTTCCGCAATTAATATTTACCGATTAATTTGATATGAATATATAAGTTTATTGTAGGAATTAATCCTAACAATGATTTCAATCATTAATATCTTTTATTACCAATATGTAAAAATCATAAACATTTGATATTAAAATAGTATATATCGAGAAGAATCTAACAAGATCCCACATGATTATATTTTTACATAGATATAAATCATCAAAACTAGTCAAAGTGAAACACATGAATAGTGTAAAAGTCAAATTGTTGCAACTATAAAAAAAAATGGAAGAAGTACATTTTATGACACGTCTTGAAAATTGTGAAAAGTCAAATGGGGCAAAAAATAGGGACATAAGGATTACTACAATAACCTTTAGTTAGGATTGTCCATATGATTTTTCTTAAATTATACTTCCTCCGTTTTTTAATAGTTACAATACTCACTTTTTCACGGTATTTAAGAAAAGTGGGGTTCACACATGATTTAATACAATTTAAATTGGGGTGAGAGGTTAGGAGTATAATTTAGTGGGCCATGTGCTTTAAATAAGGGAAATACTTCCTCCGTTTCCTATTATCTGCAACAAACTTTGTTGCACAAACTCCAAGAAAAAATTTCTTAAGCAAAGATTAGGAAATAAGGGGTATGTGATTAATTGGATGAGAGAGAAATTGAAAAATTAAACACCACCCAACCTAGTCCAACCTGCTACCACATCACCATAAACCCACCTCGTAGCCACGACAAACCGACCGGCCACCGCGAAGCTTTCCCACATACACCCTGTAACCACCCTCTCACTGTTGAGTTTTGCGGTGTCCGACACCGCGCTAAAACAAAACCTTGAAACCGGATCGCATACATAATAATTACAACATAAACAAAAGCATGCAAATAAACAAAACACAAGAGAAGAGAGAGAAAGAATTCTCACCCTAGAAGCGTGTTTCGCTTAACCGATGAGCTCGGACTTGAAAGTTTCAAGCTCCGCAAGTGCGAAACCTCCGACGGCTCACACCCTTACTACCGAACCGTAACCGGCTCCTACCCCTTAGCTTAGATGGGGCTAGACCAAAATAACTTAGAGCTTACGAACAAAGGTTTTCTTGCTTTTGGTGATTCCTTAGAGTTCACCAACTCAAGTGAATTTCCCAATACCCAATGATTAGTATTTATAGGGAAATGTTCCTAAGAATTCCCATCATCTTTGTTACATCTATGTTATGTGCATTACATCTAAGTTATGTCGAATTAGGTGAGACTCCCAATAAGGTAATGACCACAAGGTGTTTATTTTCTTCCAAGTATTTGGTCATTAAAGTCTAAAACTCCCTCTATTTGGTTCAACTCATCTGTCCCAGTTTGATCCATAGGTGCCACTCTAAATTCTTCCTTCCTATTAAAAGCTTTCCTTGTTTAAACGAAACGGGTGACTTGGATCTAGGAAACAACGATGATCCATAAAACAATACTTATGGCCATTCTTTAGCCATTTGGATTTTGTTTCAATGTTACAACAAGGACATGCTTTTTCCCCATGTACACTCTAACCAGATAGCATTCCAACAGGATTAAAACCATCCACGGTTGGTCTAGGAATTAGGGTGAAAGGATAATAGATGAATTTTTTAAACACATCCACGGTGGCAAATTATAAGGTACCACTACAATAGGCCATCAACTATATGTAGAACTCAACATCCCAACAGGATTAAAACCATCCGTAGCAAGTCCTAGTCTAACATTTCGACTCTCCAAACCAAATTCAGGGTATCAAAGTCTTTCCAAGCTTCAGATCTGCTGGATGTCCTAACACATCTTCTTCCTTGGAACGTTCTTCATCATGCCACCTTATCAAGGATGCAATGTGCTTAGACATATATAGCCACTTTAACCTAGGTTTCAATGGAAAATATCTCAAAAAACTTTTGCAGGAACTCCTTTTTTCTTCTTCCTACCCGTTGAAGTTGTTTTCTCCTTTACGCCTTTTAACCTCGAGGCGCCTCAAACTGAACAAGTATCATCGTTGGCTTTATCTTTCCAATAGAACTGATAAGGATTTGGGCAAGCATGAATTACGACATATCCAAGGCCTAATTTCTCAATGACCTTCTTAGCCTCTGCAAATGTTTTTTGGTAAATTAGCACTACTTGGAATTGCAAGTTGCAAAAATTCCAACAACTCATTACATGACTTATTAGTCCATTTATTAGAGCTTTTTATGTGAAATAAAAGTACTAAAAAGGACAGTTTATTCAATTCACACCCTGGCCATAACTCTTGATCAGCATCATTGAGCAAACTGTAGAAGCTTTGAGCTTCTTTGCTGGGACCCTTAGTACCTTCACCCATGTTATCCTCATTTAGATTTGGACCATCTCCTTTATAACCATATGCATCTGACTAATTGATGCATATCTGTACGCTCAAATGTTACATCTTCGACTATAGGTTTAACATGTCTTGGAATTGGTATTTGATCCGCAATTTCCCCATGAAAAATCCAGCTTGAGTAGTTACGCATCATTCCAAAATGAAGTAAGTGGTAATTTACATCATCCAGACTCAAACGTTTGTTATTAACGCACATCACACAAGGACATCTAAGTTTTTCAAAAGAGGTTAAATTCCTGGTAGCATAACTCATAAAACCATCAACCCCTAATCGATATTGTGTTGCTTTTATTGGCCAACTCAAATTTTCCTTGATTGTTCGCAAATCCATACTAAATTATGAAAAAAATATATCAAATTACATAAATGCAGAACATTGGTATCACTCAAGTAAAATTACAATCATTATAGTAAGCTAGTAAGGTATATAATAATAGTTTAAGTAGATATCCATGTAAACCCAAGAGCTCAAAAATAGCCACAATATAGAATACATTTACATTTATTTCTTGAAACAAGATTAATTATTTGTATTGATCAAAATTCAATTATGACTTTGAGGACAAAGATAGGGAATCTATTCTTTTTTTTCCCCTTAGGTGGAGATGTAAAGCCTATCTTTAAGTGATCATCACATTACCAAGACATATTAGAAAATTTCCTTTTTAGTATAAATTTAATCTTTTTATATCTCTTATAATCCTATCAATAAGATGACAAGGTTTAATACCCTCAATTAATCATACTAATTTGTTTGTAGTTTATAGTAACTTTCGTAGTATAAATTACAAAAAGATTGCCCAGCCAGTAATTCTAAATCAGAAGAACTGAAATCAAGTAACCAATTACAAGGAATATATACAATTACCAAGTAACAAATCAACTTATACTTTTAAAATCCAGTAATTATAAGAGCTGATGACAAGGGTGCACTAAAATGTACACTAAAACAATAAGACAACATGTAGTAAGCATTTAATTCATAGTACATGTTTCACAGCTAATATCTTAATTAACTAATTAAACTGAACTATATGATATTCACATTATACAACAAAAGCACGCTATCTATACTACAAAAACATATTCGGACTATGCTCGTGTTAATTTTTGCTGTTTTACACTTACATTTTCCCAATTTATTGAGTCATACCAATTCCAATAAAATACATGGACGATTTGGAATATTACATACTCTCTATTCCACTTAATTTGTGTAAAAAAAGAAAAAAAAAAAAAAAGAAACAAGCACATTAATACACGAAAAATGGAGTACATATTAGCCAATACTATTAAATTATGATAAGCAATTTAAAGTGGCAGACAATTGATAAATGGAATTGTGGTTAGTAACTAAAGTAGTGGACAATTTGATAATTCAACTAGACTAACAAAGATATTCACAAGCAACTAGAGTACGGCAACTAAAAAACAAATAATATAAAAATAATGAAATAAAAAGAATTAGATACATGCAGAAGCAATATAGAATAAGGATGCTACGAATTACTCACTTGAAGCTGGGTATTGTGTTTTTCTATTTCTGCACCGAATATCGTGACTTTATCGCACAGAATATCAACAACCTATGGAAAATATACAAAGCAAAATTGAGATTGCAAATTGTTAGTTAAATAAAAACAAGGTACAGTTACAAAATCAGTAATTATTTAAGAAAAGATGATTATACTGAGAAATTAATTCAATTGGGATGTTCAATTACAAAATTAAACTAGATTTCTGAATATACTATACTCCGTAAATTGGGAATTTGATCTGATTAGCACAAATTTGAATGATTATAAAATTATAAATTAGAATCAAAATAAAAGTATAAACTGAAATCAAATCAAATTATAAAGTGAAATTAGGTTTAAGTTCATAAAGTTGGGAAGCAAAATTCAGATTGTAATCAATAGTAGTCGAAAGAAATCTAGAAAACGATTAGAATTCTTACCTTTTAGCAATCAAGAAATTATATTTGTAGTTGATCTTGTGAAGAACGAGCAATTGGCTGAAGTGCTTTGGGAAATTAGAGAGAAGTTAGAGAGAGAAATAGAGAAATTTTTTTTAGGGATTCAACTTTTTGCAAGTAGAGGCCGGGAACTTTGAAATATTTCATTAATTTTTCACTGTATTAGTGCGCTTCCCTTTACGCCTTTTTTATTTTTGTTTTTTTAGAAACCAATCATTTTCCTGTAGCAACGTTATAAAGTACCACTTTTTAATAGTGTTTCAATTTACAAATCCCTTACAATGTATCAGCACTATTATTATTGAGCGTTGCTATGCAAGCGTCTTTAAAGGCCAATTTTCTAGTAGTGTAGCCCTTTCTCCCAACTTGGAGAATGACTGCTTTATCATCTTGCCAAGTAAGAATCCTTCGCAGTTTTCAAACGACTCTAAGTCGAATGAATCAAGAATCCCTTCATGAAGAAGCTTCTTGATGCGTTTGATATTAATGTGGCCAAGACGACAATGCCACAAGTAGATTTGATTTGACTCAATGGTTTTAGTCCTATTGGTGGTATCATTAACATTATAAATCTGTCTGTCTAGTCACATTCGAAAATGTGTAATCCCATAAAACATATAAGCAAGACATTCAAAACAACCATTGTTATAGTCTTGTGATCAAAACAACCCGGTGTCCAACGCCATAGATCAAAATATGTTCGATGGTAAGCAAATCATAATAAAACGAGAATTAGTTTTATTACAAGCCAAAACACAAATATTGTGCCTGCAAACACGGCAGAAGGACCATCTTCATCGTCCGGTTGTTGTCGCACATTCACTTGTGAAGCCTCTCACTTGGTCCCTGAAATAGGAGCGTAAAGTGAGTTATACATGGTATCCAATATATATGAATAGCTTATACACAAGTGTTAATGAAGATACATGAGATAGATGGAACATTCCTCTTTTCCTCATCTTCTCGGAAGATCTTGCATTCCCTGTTGTAGTGGCCTTGCCCACCACAATAGAAGCATCGCATCTTCGTTTTGTTCTTGAACTCATTCTTCTTCACTCTCAAGGGCATCTTGGTAGCTCCATAGGAACCGGCCTTGCGTAGCACTTGCACCACCTCATTCAATGAGTATGGCTCCTTCCCGGCTGCCATATGCATCCTAAGTGCATCATAGCCCAAGTGGAGTGAGCCAAGCAAAATATAACCCGCCATCTCATCTTCTAATAGGATTCCAAGAAGCTTTATATGTTTGAAGATCCTTTTCATTCTAATCACATGGGGTTGGAGGGGCATACCGGGTTTCAATTTGGTATTGTAGACCCTAGACCAAACTCGGTACCTTTCCTTGGCAAGACAACCTTCCTCCGAGGCCTTGATTTTCATGTTCACAAATGACCTAGTCAAATTATGAACATTCAAGTCCTGAGGCTCGGAAGTCATATTGACTAGCTCCTTAAGACTATTAAGAAGCATATCCGGAAGGTATGAGGTGAACTTCCTCTTCCAATCCTCCGAAAGGGAGTTCCTCATCAAATTTGTAACCTTGTAACAATCCAAGGACCAAGTTTCATGAGTTTCATCACTCATGAGTCCCTTAGAGAAGAATCTTGGAATGGGAGTGTCCAATATGTACTCCATGGAACTATTCCGTAGAGTTCTCCGGAATTCCTCTTCCCATTCCTTGAAATTGACCAAGTTTAGGCTACAAGCCAACTTGTCGGGGAGTTCCGGACACATGTTGCTGTTGTTAATTGCAGACATTTTTCTGCAAATGAAAGAATTTTGCAATGAAAAATCATTTATAAATCCAATAAGTTTGAAATTTAAAGCATATATACATGCAAACTTTCAATTTTATTAAGCGTTTTATCCACACATTTAAAATTTTCCCTTTTAGGCGAGAATAAAACGATTCTAAGACCTCAAAAATCAAAAAGTGATTAAGCATGCTTTGGCTTGTCTTAACACTTAATATTTTAAGGTAAGTAATCCAATTGCTTATAGCTCTAAGGTACTCTTGGTTCGATAAAACGTCGCATCTAATGCTTTCATGACGTCTATCTCCATTGCCACGACATCTAAGAACTCTTAACCGGTATCGTTGAGTTTAACCAAAATCAACTTGTATACCTAGTATACCTTACGTTCCTAGGAAAGTAGTAATGCCTTGCTTTGGCATAGCCCATTACTATTCTCATTAGTTCGGTAAGTGTTATTTTGGAATGACAAATTTTAACTCAATTTAATAGGGACTTAGGGTTTCTATATTGGTTGATTAAGTGAACTAAACTAATCATTCAACAATCGAAATCCTAAACATGCATCTAACATCGCAATTATATATAAGCATTAGCATAAATATATAAAGCATAAAATAGAGATGCATTTGGCAACTAGAGTGACCCCTTGAAACTTGAATCTTCAAATCTTCAAGGGCCTTCATTGCATCTTCTTGGCTTCGTCTTCTTAGAAACACCGTCTTCAAGACATCTCTGCCAATTATGAAACTACTAATAATAAGACTAAGACTTAATCTAAATATTAAGGTACAAAAATACTCAACGGCACACAGTCCGTATTTATATTTACAAAAACACAAAACGGACACAGTCCGTATTTATTATCCTAGTCGGGCCCCACTAGTTGCCATTTTGTAAAACCTGCATTAGAATATCTATTCCATTCATCCATTCACTAAAGTGAATGGCCCATGCATTTTACAAAATAAATCAAGTAACAATGCAAAACAAGCGCAAACTAGTTACTATCTTAGGTGGTTAATCCAATTAACACGCCTAATTAAAACTAGTCAAAGTTGTTATCCGATTATGTGAATTAACGCAGTATTAGCTCAAGCGATTAATGAAGCTCCCACTAAATTCCACATCCAACTTAATTAAAATTAATGCAATTAAAATTAATTATGCCGGTTAACCGAAAAATTTTGCCAAATAATTTTGCAAGTGCCAGGAAAAACCGATGTCTAGCCTCGTTTAAATTAAAATAAAATCGCAAAAACCGCAAAATAATAGCCCCTCAACGGCCGATTGCCTAGCATCCAAGCCTTGAGGCTAGGCTTGTTAGGAACCCCAAGCCTTGCTGTCGTGAGTAGGTGCTGCTCGCACAGCCACATCAGCGTGCTAGCACCGGTGCTAACACTGCAGCGTTGCAGCATGCTCAGCATGCTTGCGCGCATGCTTGTGCAAGCCCAGCAGGCGTTGCTATGCGAGCTAGGCACTGCCTAGCAGTCCCACTCCACGCACCACACGCACGCTCCCTTGCACATGCTTTGGCTCGGCAACAACATGTGGGGTGCCGCAAGGAGCCCTGGCCGAGCCTAGGCACTCGAAGCTTCGACTTCGATTTTGTGCTTGTTGTGCTTCGGATCTTATTCTGAGTTTTTTTGTGTGACATAAAAAAATTAATACTAAATTGATTTTAGAACTAATATTGAGCAATATTGAAAATAAAATAAGTCTAACTTAATTAAATTCAATTTTAGTGCAAAAACCAAAAATAATTTAAAGAATCAAAATTCAAAATTAATTCAAGAATCATTCTTTAAATTATTTTTGGTTCAACTTGATGCAACAAAATTGAGGGCTATTCTCACAATTAATTTAACTAACATAAATTAACAATGAGATTTGACAAAAAAGGTTGGAAAAATAAATAATCATCCAATGAAAAATTTATCCAACACTTACTTATGCACATTTGAATATTGTAATCTTCCAATATGAAGAGCAATAATATTTCAAGCACAAGTATGAACATTTAAGATTTTAATCAACTTAAAAATGATTAAAACCAAAATTTAGTTCATTATGGATTTTAGCAAGTTAAGATCCAACCAAATAGACAATTAAAGATTGAATCTTTAACATTTTAGGGACTTCAAAATTACATATTCACCATAAACATTCACACTCCAAGCAATTAATTTGCAAAAATGTGAAATTGCAAGTTTATGTGAAAATAAGATCTAACCAAATTAAGCACCAAGTATGACTTCATAAACATGCTTAATAAGGGTTAAAATTGCAGAATCTTATTGGTATAATCAAACACATAATTCAATAATTGCATGCCATAATTAATCAAGGTATAAAGATTTAAAAATTTTCATCAAAAACGAAAAACCCTTCGAAAAACCACTTTATGGGTGGATTTTGGCTTCTAGAAGGCCATTTTAAAGTACATAGTGAGAAAAGTTTGATTTTGAATGTCGATTCCACCCAAAATTCACTATTTTTGAGTCAAAATCAGAGTTCGTAATCCAAAATTAGCAATAATACGCTTTTAATCTAATTAAAAATGAGCTCCTAATCTGATTAGGATGCTAAACAGAAATTTAAATCCATTTTAAATCACCTTAATTAATTTTTTTTAGGTTGTAAAAATTAAATGCAAATGGCTCTTATACCGCTGTTGGGTTTTGCGATGTCCGACACTGCGCGAAAACAAAACCTCGAAACAGGATCGCATGCATAATAATTACAACATAAACAAAGGCATGCAAATAAACAAAACACAAGACAAGAGAGAGATTAGAGAGAAAGAATGCTCACCCTAGAAGCATGCTTTGCTCAACCGATGAGCTCGGACTTGAAAGCTTCGAGCTCTGCAAGTGCAAAACCTCCGATGGCTTACACCTTCGTTACCGAACCGTAACCGGCCCTTACCCCGTAGCTTAGACGGGGCTAGACCAAAATAACTTAGAGTTTACGAACAAAGGTTTTCTCGCTTTTGGAGATCCCTTAGAGTTCACCAACTCAAGTGAATTTCCCAATACCCAATGATTGGTATTTATAGGGAAATGTTCCCAAGAATTCCCATCATCTTTCAATGTGGGATAGTTGGTAAAATGCCAAAAATAAGATATAATTTAATTCTAATTAAATTAAAAAGACATGAACAATAATCAAATGACAAGTGTCATCACACAAGAAAGGGAGTAGGTAAGAGGACCATCTTGCCCTTGGAGAACAAGGCAAAGGGCTGCCTCACACTTACCCGGTCAGCAAAGGCAGCTGCCCGGCCTTGGGCAGAAAGGCCAGCAACGCTGCCACCCTTGCGCCACAAGGCTAGGCCTGCTATCTGCAAGCCCACAACAGCTACCGCAGGCCCACACGCATACCGTAGGCCCAGCAGCAGCACCATAAGCGCCAGCCTTGCTACTGGTCTTGCTAGATAGGCCCCGCTAGTGCTGCCTTAGTGCGCAGACTACTAGGCCGCCTAGCTAGCCCGCAAGCAACGGCCAGCCTAGCTAGCCCGCAAGCAACGGCCAGCCTAGCTGGGCCTTGCGATGGTTGCGGTGGCTTGGTGGTTTGGTGCTTGCGGCCCCTAGTCATTTGTCTTCAATCCGAGGCATG